TTCTGAGAAGAAGAGAGATCAGTCATGCTTCCCTGTGATTATAGGTGGAGATGTTTATTAGAATGAAACTCACGATTCTGTGATAGAAACGATTTTGTATTCCATTTGTCGTTGATTGTTTTGTCTAGCAGTCCCCATTGATGCTCGGTGGAATGACATTTGCACGACACCTTGTGTACAAACTAAAGTCAAAAGCTTTGGTCTTTCTGACCACAGGCACAGCTCTGAAAAAGGGGTGATTCAGCTTTGTCTTTGAAGTGAGCTCATCCAGGGAAAAGTATGCCCTATGCAAAATGAGTTCCAGACAAACATGGAGCGCATCAAGAATTTAAACAAGCAACAGATGGTAGCTGAGACAAATCAAGCGAAAGTTTAAAGGGGAGGACTGACAGGAGCCGACGAGACCTCCGCTAGACCTTGTTCATTCTTCTTGTGATTTTTGCTTGTAATGCTTCTTTATTAGCATGTTCATGGTGAGTCACTGAACTCTAATCCCTACAAATTGCATATTTCTTTTTTTGTATGTCTCAATACGTCAGCTAAAAAAGCTGTGTAATGAGCTTTGTAGTAAGGTTTTTTTTTCCAATTACAACTGAACAAGCAGCATCTTTCCACTGACTCGTCTAAAGCAATTAATGTTGACCCAGTCTTTTAACCTCTTCTTTTGAAAGTAACGGAAGCTGATGCTGTATCTAAAGTCCTCTCGTCAGCAAAGTCCCTACAGAAGATTTGATTGCTCAACAGCAACTAAATTAATGAAATTTTGGTTTCCTATTTGACTTATGTGTTATATTTTCTCTTTCAAACATAGGTCAACATGGCTGGTCTCCAGAAGATTTTGGTTGTTTTGTGCCTGGTAACACGAGCCATCAGCCAGGACATGCCTTACGAGGAACTCCTTGCCCAAATACAAGCCTGCCCCAGGGAGTGCAACTGCCCCCAAAACTTCCCTCGAGCCGTTTACTGTGACAACAAAGGGCTGAAGAGCATCCCTAAGATCCCCCCTTACACCTGGTATCTCTACCTGCAGAACAATCTGATTGAAACGATGCCGTTAGATGCGCTGCAGAATGCAACACAGCTGCGCTGGATAAACCTAAACCGCAACAAAATTACAAGTGACAAAGTAGGCGAAGGTGTCCTAGGTGGGATGAAACATCTGGCCCACTTGTACATGGATGACAACCTCCTGTCTACTGTTCCTTCACCACTGCCAGTCAGCCTGGAGCATCTACGCCTCTCTCGCAATCGCATCTCCAAGATTCCCGCCGGTGTGTTTGTTGGCCTGGACAAGCTAAACTTGCTGGACCTCCAGGGGAACAAGTTGATGGACGACGGCGTCACTGAAGTGAGCCTGAAGGGCCTCACCAGCTTGGTCCAGATTAATTTAGCCAAGAACCAGCTGAGTAGCATGCCCCTTGGACTGCCGCCTACCACCACCCAGCTTTTTCTCGACGGTAACAACATTGAAAAGATTCCTGCTGACTACTTCAAAGGTTTGCCCAAAATGGCATTTCTGAGGCTCAACCACAACAAGCTCGGCAGCGCTGGGATTCCAAAAGACATTTTTAATATCTCCAGCATGCTGGACCTGCAGTTGTCTCACAATCAGCTGACTGAGGTTCCAGTCATTCCCTCAGGCCTTGAACACCTCTACCTTGACCACAACAAGATTGCAAGTAAGTGTTAGCTGAAGAAAATAAAAGGTGTTTTGGGAATCTTGATTTGTAGTACGTGAATCTAAATGTCTTGTTGCACTTCCACTTACTCTTTTCCAGATGTGAATGGCTCTAGCGTGTGTCCCGTTTCTGTTGATTCTCTGGACGACTCGACGAACGACGGCGTGCCAAGACTTCGCTACCTCCGACTGGATGGCAATGAGATCAGTCCACCGATTCCCAGGGATGTCGTCTTGTGCTTTCGCCTCCTTAGGTCTATTGTTATCTAAACAGAAAACCAATAATGTGTTGTAAGCTAAATGACTTTCTGCACAATTATTGAAATGACGTGGATGTTGTTCCAGTCAATGAAACTTGAAAAGTCATCCACTGACATTAAGCTTTCCATTGTTTCATCTTGGAAAGTCTTTCAAGTAATAAAAAGAAATAAAATCTGGAAAAAAGCACACTGATCAATAGATGTTTTTGATATAATATTTGCTGACCATTAGCTGTGCCTTATGTCAGTGAAGATACCAGTCAGTAGACCCCTGAACTTGTGTGTAAATAAATACAGAATGGGATATGGTGAGATTTGGGACTGAATTTCGAAAAGTTGCAAAATATCCATATTCTCAGTTTTTTGTTTTGTTTTTGTTTTTGTTTTGTTTTTTTTTTACACTTTATATTTGTAGATTTGGTGTTTTTATTTGCTTTTCAAAAGACGATCTGTCAAGTGTGCAGAAATATATATACTGTTGGTAATTTATTTTTATTTAATATTGGCTAAGAATTTGAATCCTGTGAATACTCATGGCCAACATTACTTCTTGTTTTGTACACAAAAATGTGAATATTTGCCAACTTATTTTTAACATTCTGGTCATTTTTTCTGAATACATTGTGCAAGGGTTTTCATCTTAAATTATCTTCAATAAAACTTAGAATGAACATGTGATCATGCAACTGTGTTTTTTTTGTTATTGTTTTTTGTTTTCGCAACACTTACATGAAGATTAAATATCTACCAAATTTTGTGTAGATATTAGCGTACCTTTATATACTTATCTCTGTTATTGTTCTGTCCAATTGTCTGTCAGTTTCACCAGTTCTACAAAAAAACATTGCATAATTTTGTCTGCAAAGTCCATACACAATACTGAAATCGATTTTGAGCAATAACATTAGCATGCTAGTGTTAGCATAACACTTGAAACACTGACAGCAGCAGGGGAATTCATTAAAGGCTGTCACTGGTTGTGTCACATAACCATGGGTGCTTTAGGTGAAGTAAATATATACAAATGTAGAAGGAACACCAGATAAATTCAATACTAGTTTTTAAGAGTTTACTACACAATACAACCACACTAGCTGGCTAGCTAGTCAGGCTATGTAATCTGCCTGTGGTCAGCAGCTTAACAAAGATACAGCTAGAGTTTTTCTAGCCAGAAATGTTACTAAACAGAATGTTTTACACACCATAATATTCTAGTTCTGCCGCTGCTTGAACCTCAAATTGTGCAATAACTGTTTACAGTGGAAAACTTCAAAAACACTTAGCTGGTTCTTTTCCCAAAAAATCTCAAGAGATTTCGCCAGGATTAGGCATCATAAGCCATTTGAGTCAGGCTGGCAGTATACTTTTACTGCTGGGCAACTGAAATTAAACAGAGCCATAATGAACCGTTTAACAAACGAGATCAACTTGGAGCATTTCATGTGTCACACAAGTTGCTCTGTCATGCAATCTATCCATCGCCCTCTCAAGAGATGGTACTTTGAAGATTTCATTTGATCCTCTTCCTCATTTAGAAACTTCAAATGGAAAAGAAAAGCTTCTGGATAGAAATCTTAGCTCATATAGCAGGTGCAGACAGATTTCCAGCTTTCCCACTCCGCCCTTTGTCTCTCACTCATCAGAAGGTTTAGAGTTACTGTGGGATGAGTGGAAGAGGCAGCATGTTGAGACAAAACTCTGGGGAAATATACGTGTGTGTGTTCTCTTTACACTTTAAAAAAGGATTAAAAAAAAGATCATGAAAACCTACTTCACTTACATCAATGTGAGTAAAGCAAACCAATCTTGTAATCTTTGAAAACTATCGAAAATTTTAATTATTCTACTTCTCCCCTGAATTATCATTTAATAGAAGGAGGGCATATTTCTCCTTCCCCCCTCCCCCCCCCCACAACTGGAGGAAATTGGAGTATTACTTTGTGGAATGAGGATTGAAACAAGAGAGGGCCAAATTTTGGAGCCTTCAGGACATTTCGTATCAAAAAACACCAGATATGGTACAAGGTGTCAGTCTTTTGCCCAACTATATCTGTTGTTCAATTCTCTTATTGGGACAGGATTGGTTTTTCGGTGCATACTGTTACATGTGATGGCGCCTGTCTCCATCAGTCAGTGATCCAGAGGCAGTAGATCCTGGGAAATCTCCAGTCCATCACGATGGAACACACCATTGAGTATTATGTGGACAAAAACAATTGCTTCCACTGAATCACTACATAGTGATCAGTCCTGGCCTTGGGCTGTGCATGGTTTCTCACCGGGTTCTCTTGTGTCTGTTTCAGTGCAGTGTTGTCGCCGCAAGGCACCAAGCAGCCAATCAGAAATGGATTTTGGTGCAACTACAGAAAGAAGAATGAAATGAAAAATGTATTATATTTCCAAATATGAACTTAAAGAAATGTTGTGCAGCAGCAGATTATTAACAGTGACCTAAACATAAGCAACATAGTACAACAAAAAGATCATAGAACAATTACTATGTTGAAAGAGTTAAATTAGTGGTTTATTGTAACTGAATTAAAGAGTCGGGCTCAAGGTCGGCTGAAGTGAACAGGCGGACAAAGTGTCTGATAACCGTTTGTGATTGCTGCTACGCCTTCTTGCTGGAAAAGGAAAATAAAAAGAATTTATCTTGGGTTTCCGTTGATCTGCGCAAGCGACGACGCAAAGAGAAATCTGCTTCACCTATAAAGGAGGGAGGGCAGAGAGCGTCCTCTGAGCTGGGACTTCCTCTCAGCACCATGCTAACATAGCTCCTCACAGAGGTCCCATTGTGCAGAAGGGCCTCATGGATCCCTCGCACATGAAAGCAACAAATGCCAGAGTTTCACCTCAGGAAAAGAAGGACAAATATTTCAGTTTGATTCGACAAAAAAAAAAAATAGAAGGTACGCTTGTAAGGGATAAGCCACCACTTCCTGGTTGCTCTCCATTTCCCTTTGTGTCTGAAGTGTGTGTGTCCCGTTTGAGGCGATTGTGCAAGCGGGTGTACGGCACGAAGGGGGTGAGGCGTGGGGGGGGGGGGGGGGAACCCGGAGGGACCAAAAGCAATCGCTCCTGTCCAATCAGTCTCAGTGCCTACCTTCACACATAAGCGGCAGGGCACTCGGGTCCACACAGACCTACACATACACACACACACACACACACTTACACTTAGACACTTGTCACATCTGCAGCCATCTTTTCCCCCTCACCCCACCATCACCTACACTCCCCTGTTCTTCAAGGCTACCTGTGTGACCTCTCACCATTGGCCAAGTCTCGGAGCCCTCAGCATCTCCATCACGGCTGAAGGGACCATTCGGGAAAGCAGGAGACAGAGGTAAGCATTCTTACTGCTGTGTTCATGCTGGTAGCGGGGATTAGGCAGGCTGAGGTGCATGGTTAACCCTTTTAAAAACAGTGGTAGTCAGGTTTTAAACAGGTGCCGCAACACCAACCGGCTTGGGTTAGATGCCTCGCGTTCACGTCTTTTTTTCTTACTGGTAATTTCATTCACTTACGCGAAACTTCAAGAATGGGTCGTAGGTGGAATGGGGCTCATAATTTCAGAAATTGCACGCTCAAACTTGAAGCTGCTAAATTGCAGTTCTTCTATGCACAAGTCTTCCCAGGCACAGGTGGTTCTGCAGCAAAGATCTTTGGAATGTTGCAAATTATTTGCACGAATGATTTTTCGGGCTTTTAACAAAAAAAAAAAAACCTTTACACTCACAAAACCATGATGTTAGTGCGAGTGTGGCCGTTTATGCTCTCCATCAGAGGGAATATCACTGGGTCTGCTTGAGGCTTCTGAGGGAGAAAAGGTAGAATCGCTGGATATCAGGTATGCCCAACGTGTGGCCAAACATAACAAGGAGGCAGTCTAGAGGAAAGACACAAACACAGCTTCCACACACTGTACGCTGTGATGGCCTGTATAAAAGCCAAGCTCTGTGCTGTCTTTAGAAAAGTCCTTCTTTCAGTCTAGCTGTGCTGGATTTCTCCTGATCGGTCCATTTCTGTAGCAATGCCAACCAGTCGACTCCCTTCAGCAAAGTGCATCAAGTTCATGCTGAAGTCAGAGAAGGGACCGATATTATAATCCGTGTTTTATTGTGGTGATGTGCAAAAAATAAACTGGATAAGCATTTCATGATTGTTTTTGTGTGCCCTCATTCCAAAATAGCTGCAGTTTATTGGTTTTCTGCCACTGAAAGATAGATGTGTGAGGGTTGCATCTTTCCAACTCCATGCATGAATAAGTGTGTGTACATCTGCGTGTGTGGGTGTGTGTGTGTGTGTGTGTGTGTGGGTGTGTGTGTGTGTGCCTAAGCCCCGTCTCTGCTGAATGGAGCTTTTCCTCATGAGCTGCAGCAGGTTGCTGCCATCCTGTCCACAAACCTCGGTGGAATTTGGAGTTTGAGTGCTGAGACTAGCGGGCCTCCATAAAGGCTCTCTGTGAAGGCCGAGGGGTCGGGTTAGCGCAGGAACCTCTCTCACCTCTCCTTTTTTCTCACTTACTCGCCCGGACTCAACTTTTTTTTTTTTTTTTACTGCACTTTCTCCATCTAACCCTGAGGGCCAACATCTTGTCTGTGTTTCCCTCTCCATAGCGCTCCTCTTTTCTTCTTCTCCCTCTCCTTGCTCACCGTTTCTCTGCCCTGGCCTGGAGGACTCCCTCTCTCAGCTCCCACAGTGCCATCACTGGGTCTTGAGTGCCGACACATTGAAATGTTTTCAGTCTTTTAATCCTAAATCCCAGGTCTGTAAGGAGTTAACCTTATTAGGCAGTAATTAACATATGCTAATCTTATTAGTGCTTTCCGCTTTGGAGTAATTCGTGAACTTAACGGCCTGCGCTCCAGAGGAAATAACAGGATCATGAGCAGTTGCTCTCTAGGTCAGGACATGCAAAGGCGACAGCCGTGTTGAAAATGATTCACGTTTATTTTAAAAGTGTCTCTGTTGAGATTTTTGTAGCTGCAGGTAAAATATTCTTGTCTGATTGGGAAAAATTCTTAAAAACTTTATGGGTAAAATCCCAGACATTTCAAAGCTGTGTGCTTATTTTATTCCAACTAAATTTCCCCTCTGTGGGACAACAAAGGCCATTTATATTCAACTGCAGAAAGGCTTACATAATTTAGGACAGTCCAAACATTTTTTGGTGCCAGTGTTATGAAAGCCATTTTCCAGGTTGCCTGTGTTTTCACCATTGTTTATGCAGAGTGGAAATAAGTTTTCTTGATAATTTATTCACATAACTGAACAGAATCCGTTTGCTATTCCTTCAGCAAATTTGGAATAAACACTTTACAGAGCCCTCCAAAAACCTTACCACAAACTCCAGTGTTTTTATTAGGAATTTATGCAAGACCAGTCACAAAGTGTGGCATGCATTGGGATTCAACCCACTTTCCTCTGATAAACAAACTTCTTTTCTTTTTTAGAAATCCCGCATATCGTAATATAAAGCCATCCAAGTAGACAGACAAGTCAGACAACGAGCATATCAATCAGAGGAGCAGTTTAAAGACTCGGAAATTCTGGAGAATATGAAGAGATGCTTGGGAGACTGAAATAAGTGCTGCACTTTGTAAATCTGAAATTTTGTCATTCATTTTCGTATCTACCAGTCATGCATTAAATACAGCAACCATTAGGAAGACAGTCTGTTGGCACGATGAAGTAAAACCGAAAACTTTTGACCTTTGTGTGAAAATGTCACACTGTGACGCATGGTAGTGGCGGTGTCAGGCTTTGGGGTGTTTTTCTTCAAGAAGTGGAGAATAAATAGGACTCTGTGAAAGGTAACGGTACGAGGGAAGCCTTTAAATGAGTCCAAATACAAGCAGCATAAAAGATACTTCACAAAGTGTCGGGCTGAACACAAATGTCTGCCCAACTTTACAGGTTCTTATTTGTACGAATTTTAAAGAAACATGTGAATCACTTCCTTCTACTTCACAATAATGCAGTACTTTGGTTGGGTAAAAGTTGTAGTTATTAGACGTTTGTTGTTAAAGTACAAAAGTGCCAAAGACATAATGCTGGAAGTGTAAAATTCAACATTTACCTTGATGAGAAATAAACACACTGATTGTTTCGAACCACACTAAAGCAATGCTGGGATAAACATTTACCGTGTCTGAGTCCAACCAGAAAATGGTGCAAAACAATTACAATAACTTAGTCCGTCGCATATTAAATCATCTCCTCTGATCAAGTCAACAAGTCAAACAGTGACTTTCACTCTGTCTCCCATAAAAAGGAGAGGTGAACTGAGGCGTAAGAGCTCCTCAATGAAATTATGAAACTGGTTTAACCAGAAATAGAACGCCTTGCCCTTTGGTCCCGTATCTGTCTGCGCCTCCATAATAAGATCAGTGACCTTAGTGGTCAGGGAACGAGGTCAAAACCTCAGTCTTTGGCACTGTAACAGGCTTCCAATTCCAGTTGTATTCACTTTATATTCTCGTAAAAAAATTTACGCCACAAAAATACTCGCGTGCAACATAAAAACTGTACTTGTTAAGCAACCAGTAAAGTGAAGAAACCTCTGTTTAATTCTGCTGCTCTGTTGTTGTACAGGTGGACCATGAGGATCTTTTTGTGGCTCGTGTTCGGACTCTTCGTCCTCAAAGCGGTGGCGGCCAGCCCCAGATTTTCCCGGCAGGTGGACTTTGACTCATACGACTATGATGAAAGAGAAAACAATGTTGAAGATAACTATGAGTATGGGGAGGTAAGAGGTTCTAGCTGTGCACAAGCTTTCACAATCTGCACAAACGCCTTAGCTTTTATTTAACGTTTGAAAATTAAAGTATTTTATTCCTTCACCATCAGTTTACATTTGATGAATCAGTGCATGAGATGCTTCCATTTTTGGACATCTCATTTGTTACAACAAAGATTGTAACAAAACCAACAAATGATGGTTAATTTTTTGAATTAAAGCGGCGTTTTTGTTGAACGTGTGGTTGTGGGCTGAGGTCATGGGGTTCTTTGAGCAGACTGGAATGCTGCAGATGGCAACTGGAGTGATTTGGAGCATTGACAGATTTATTTCTGTACAATTGAGCCAAACATTCCTCAGTTTATACTTTGGCCAGCCACCGTTAGAGGGTCAATGCCCCAGAATCCTGCATGCACCTGGAGCCGTTTCAGCTGGAAAATAAATGAGTTGGCCCCGATAAGAGCCTCATTCTTCTTTGCCCCTAGACTTGAGTTTTTGTTGAAGGCTGGGATTTTAGTTACTCTTGCAAATAAGCACACTTCTATTTTAAAATAAGTGTAAAGTAGAAAGGTACAGCTAAGACAAAAAAAAAAGCATCCCTTGCACCCAATGGTTATAATATGAACTTACTTAAATTGCTTATGAAATACCAAATCAGCTAATCACAATGCATTTAGGCAACTAGACATGGGGACTAGCTGGAGTTCAAAATGAGCATTGGAATCGGAAAGAGAGTGGATATAAGTGACTTTGAAGGTTGTTGTTGCCAGACAGGCTCAGAAAATACAGATTTTTTTTAGAAAAACCATTGTTTGCCAAGAATGTCCCAAAAAAAGAGAGAGAAAGCATCCAGTGAGTAGCCATTCAATGGAAATGACTTATCAGAATGGTAAATCTAATTATTGAATACTATATAAATACCACGAACTAACTCTAACTATCCTGTTATGATCATAGTTCATCCGTTTTCTAACAGAAAAGTGCACCAAATGGCAAAGCTCAATTAATCCCAAACAACTTTCTTCTCAGTGAGTTCATTATTCCACAATGGAATACAAAGGTGCTGGACTACATTTCAATACGATAGGTCACCTTTGGGAAGTAGTGAAACATCCTGGATGTACACCTGGCAAATGTCAGTATGGAATAAAACCTGAGGAATCATTCAAACAACTTGTCCCGAAGGCAAAAGGGAGTCCGATTTGGCACTAGCGCCCGACAAAAGTAGCCAGAGAGTGAATACTCTCTTCAAAAGGCTTTAACAGAGCCATTATATAAAATACAAGGAGTGGTGAGAAAACAACAATTAGTTAAAATAAACCAATCTCGAAGCAGTTAAAGTTGTGCTGCAGTGCACTAGCTTGTGCACAAAATGGAAAAGTAAAAAAAAAAGCTATTTTAAGCTGTGACTTTTCTAATGTTGCCACGGCAACATGTTAGTATGTTGACTTTAAAAAAATACAACATGCTATACTGCTGCTTTTGTAGATTCACTGTTAAATTGCTATAGGCCTATCGTTACCACAAGAACGGGTTGCAGTTGAGATGTGCTAATGACAAGAGCAAATTAAAAATGGCTCCCAGCAGCTTAAGCTAAGTCATGTTTAAGTTGATTCTGATGTGGCAACGCTGCGTTTAACCAGCATCACCGACCAAGGAAACTGGCCAGGCTTCCTCAATAAAACAAACCCTCTACATAAACTTTTCACGTGGCTCGCCATCGAACAACCAGCTTAAACATAATCTAAACCAATTTTAGTTGTTTTGTAAGGCATGTTTACTGTGACTTTATGCCTTTTCAAGCCAAAACCACTCTATTTCTCCCCAAACAATGACTAAGAAATGTAACCGCAGCCATTTTAAGGCTTTAATCAGCATGACTGAGTGGTGTAGTGTGAAATTGCACGGCTGAATTACTTCACAATTACTGAGTGTTGGGAAAACTGCTGTTTTGCTTGGAAATCATTTGATAACAATTAGCAAAACAGAACAATACAGTGTGTTGCTTCAGGCTCTGTGGGGTTTATGGTAATTTTACTTCTCCTGGTTTCAAACACAAAGGCTACATTAATTTCTATGCTTTCCACATAGCATAAACTCAAAGGTTTGACACGTAATTGTAGTGCGGGGAAATCACCAAGGATCTCGTTTAGCTTTCTTGATAACGCAGAGAAATGTGAAGGGCAGACTTTCAGAGGGTTGAAGAACAAATGTCTTTCATATACAAACATAGAACCTCAGGGGAGAAATGAGGCGGTGATGAGCTCCATCCCTGGAATGCTGAGTCTTTGCTTTTCATGGCCAACTCTACTTTGGCATTAACCTTCCTTCCCTCTGGGTTTTGTCTCTTTCAGTTGAATATAAGCCTCATCTACATTGTTATCCAAGCAAATCATCCTCAGTCTGCTGCATTCGAATGCTTTAATCACCATCTTTGGACTCATTCATGCATTTTGTTTGCCAATGTTCTTCACTCTCATAGATGAAGCAGGAAGCAATTTCAGATTTCTATATTTTTGCACTGTAGCAACATTTCTCTAACATGGGTGCATTCAGTCCTGATCTAAAACACTCAAGGACTTTCCATGTGCATCTGTTTGGAAAGTTGAGTAACAATTTACTCTACATTCTGTTTCCCCCTGAGAATGTTGAAAATATTGATCAAGTTTTTTGTGTAATATGTCTAAGATCAATATTCAGATGTTAATATGATCACAAAACGGGTGGCCATATTGTCAAATTATTTGATTTGAATAACAGACGGGCTTGATCTAGGAATAGCTGCATTAACTTGTGGACAAACTTGAAAGAGTACAATGGCATTTCAAAACAAATATATACATTTTTGCTTCCTGAGAGAAGACTTGGCTGAATAAATTCAATAAACGGAACATAATTACCCCACAAATTAGGGACGTGTATCTAACAACTTTAAAAATCCTGCGATCATAACCTAAGATTTATGTTTATGGAGTTTATGGAGTGGGAAGAAACTGAAGTACCTGGAGTTTGCATGTTCACAGGAAAAGACCCAAAACCAGGGTTCAAACCCAGGACATTTTTAAAACTCCGTTAGTCTGTTTAACTCATACAAAAAAACTTAAAATCAAAATTTTTTAAATATTATCCATTCCAGAAAACAAATGACAAAATAACCCTTCTTTGGCTACAGGATTTTTAATAATCCCGTAATGTGAGAATGTTTGCTAGCTAGCCAAAGTTAGCCAAAGGGGAAGGTGAGCACGATCCGTCTAACAAAAAAGATGACGCTCCATCCCCACCTGGTGCTGGATATTGCTAGTTAGCTCGGGCTAACTAGCATACTTAATGATTTCGGTACTTAAAAAGTAAATGATGCTGCGCCAAACTGTTTCATCCTGACAAGGAGTTTCTCTTTACTACACGTTTTCAAATGATAATCCTTAAATATAGAAAGTTCCATTAAACGTTTTCAAGAGAGAGAGAATGCCCTCCAAACATGGATTTTTAATTATTTTTCTTTTGTTAGTGATGGGTAATGTTTGTTTTTAACATTGTGTCCGGTGTGAATGATGATGCATGGCAGCAAGAGTGAGGTTCTTGTTGGACACCTTCAGTCTCATATCAGTTCAAGCAGAAACGATTGGCAGAAGCTCTGCAGTCTTCTGGTTCCTGCTTCCACATTCTGAACATCTTAATGCAAGGTTTTATTTTATTTTCCCATGCTGCTTTCAGAGCTCTTCTTTTATTTATCTGTTTATTTTTTGGTCGCTAGCCTTTAACCTCTTCTTTTCCCATAGGTATGTATGTTTGCTTTGGAGAAAGGGGAAATGAAGGGGAGCGCTGCAGTGAACCAACGCTGTACATGACTTTTCAAAGACTTACCTTGTTGTATGCCAAACTGTGTGTAAGCTAACTTTAGAACATGACATTCAGAGCTGAATATCTCTATTCTAGTATTTCTCCTGCTTGCTTTCTTGGTACTACATGTTCTACTAAGCATCTATTCCCTGGGCTCGTTTCCAATGACAAATCTTGGCTCGTTGATATCTGATGACATTCGGGTTGGCTCACTTGCACAGATTCAGATTCAGATCTTTGCAGCTACCATGTGTGTCTTGGTTCCACAAGGACCATTACGGATTTTAGTGGGTTGGGTCATCTGGAGCGTCAGGTACTACCTGTGTGTGGGATTTCATTACCCTCATTTGGAAAAAAGATAGAACTGCAGGTTCCATCAAACAGTAGGACACCGAAGGGCAACTGCAAAGAAGAAAAAACTGCAGCTACGACACCACAGAGCTTTTAAGTCTCAAAAACTGCAATTTATAAAGTTTTGCACGGTTTCCTGTTTGTTTCCCAACATTAAACCTAATGCTGGTTGGCTTTGTAAACATGAGTGCAGAGAATTTTACTTATGATGGGATTTGCAATGTTAAGAATAGAGGAGAGATTTCGGTTATTATCTTTAAATGTTTACTTTTTTGTCTCAAGAAATATAAATTTAATGGCTACTCACTTCCTGTTGGTTTGCATGAAGCTCTAACATTTAAAATTGGGATATTTAACCAGTTATGTAGTAAACAGTAAGGTATGTTTGTTTTTTGCATTTTGCACAATAATTTGTATTACTAGAGAACATCTTTGTACATTTATAGAATCAGAATATATAAATTTTCAAGTGAAAGTATTAATTACTAATAGTGGAGGTATATTTTTTACTTTAGATATAAATGCATCTGATCTGAGGCCATTTTTGTGACAGTTTGCTTCCATCTAGTGGTGAAAGATAAGACGTTCATCTTGGATTCCTGACCTTTGTGCAGGTGATAAAAGTTCCGTAATATGGTTGTTAAAATTCCTAAAGTTTTGAGTAGCCTGCGTTGAGATTTATTTTGTGCCCAGTTTTATTAGATTAGATTTTTAACGTGCAATCTGGTCAGGCTTCTATGATAAATTCTATTAAGTATTCAGTTCAAATTACACCACAATTTCACCTAAAATTAGATGTAGCTGATGGAACGTCACCCAGAAAACAACCATGAATTAAGGAAACGGTACGTGCTTTGGTTTTTAAGTGGTTGAAAAAGCAGGATTTCATATGCAATTCACAATCTGGGCCAGTCAAGGGAAGAAAATCACTTTAAAGTTCCCAAATTTCTTTAAAAAACTAAACAAAATGGGGATGGCAAGAAAACAGAACCCATCCATCAAGATACTGTATATACTCTGAGGGAGTAAACAATGTGAAACAGGACAGGTGTGATGATTAACAAATAAGGAGCAGGTGTGAAGAATATGCAAAAAGCAGCAGGAAGCACCTTAAAGGGGAACAAACACCAACAGGTTTGAAGACCAAAAAGGAACCTAATAAAGTTTATGTAAATTCATGACTTAAAATTATTCAATAATGACTGAATGGCAACAATGGTAATAGGAGTTTGTCCTGTTCAGTATAATAGTTTACCACCACCAGCGTGTGAATGGCACTCAAACATGAGTAACGATTTTCCCCACAATGAGTACACTCTTTCTCAAAAATATATTTGGGCTCTCGGAATGTATTCTTCTTGCAAATATTGTCTGTTCCCTGTTAGAAGACGGTTTTAAAATGACATTTTATGAGAGAACCAAAAATAATCCATGAGAACCAACCAGAATTTGTTGGTAAAAGAAGTTGAGTGCTAGGAATAGGACTGAAACGGGACGCTTTATGTCTTGACTCACTGCTAGTTTTTTTCTTTCAGCCAGAGAATGAGAAACCGGATCGATCGGATTATAACTATCCTGAACCAGAAGTAGTAGCAGAAGAAAAAGAGGAGGAAGAGGAAGAAGAATTGCCTCTAAAACCCCAAGCTGTCCCTCAGGGTTCTGGTGGATCTGGTGTCCTCATGGGTCCAGACACAGAGAAAGGTCTGAAGAAGCACATACATTTAGATCTTAACTATATTACCACTAGACATAGGGGTGCACGCAATTTAATAGAGGGCTCTAGAATTTCCCTTTCTTATTGTGTTTTTGGAATAGCTGGGTATTCCATTCATCCTTCATCTCAACCCACCCCGGCAGTCCTGTTTCCCATTTGCATGTTACCCATTTAACTGGCAGTCGGTGGTTAAATGTGTTGTGTTGACTGTGTCTGTTTCTCATGTTTTTAACCCAATCATCATTGTTCTCCAAATCTGATCAATGATCTGTTTCAGTCCTGTCTGTCTGTTTATCAGTACCTCGTTTTGTCTCTAACAAGAGGTGGAGCTGCGTCAGGCAACGGTCGATACTCTTCATGTTTCCGGGGATTTTGGAGGCTCTGTGGGGTCTGGAGAAACCTCAGCAGCTTCCGGGGCCTCTGGGTCTGCCGTCTCAGGAGACATAGTGGCCTCCAGTGCCTCCGGGGATCTTTCTGGTGACATTATTCTGATATCTGGGGATCCAGAAGAATTCTTTAACGCCAGTGGAGTGGTCAGTGGATCTGGGGAGGTCTTGACAGATGGGGTTCCAGAAGAGTTCGTTATACCCAGTGGATCTGGGGAGTCCTTGATATCTGGGGACGTCTCAGGATCTGGAGCAGCCATCGGGTCTGCTTTTTCTGGTGCCTCGGGAGACTCTCTTCCTGAAGTTGTCACTGAACTCCCCTCTGAAACCGGAGTATCTGGGGACCAGTCTGGCTCTGGGTTCTCTGGAGATCTTTTGAGCTCTGGGGCCTCTGGAACCTCTGGGGACTCTGAGGACTCTATTGTGTCAGGATATTCAGGGATAACTTTGATATCTGGAGGTTAGTACCTTGACTGAGCGTGTGATTCGTGCTAATTAACTATTGTTCCATTTAACTGCTCTCCTCAATAATGTAGTTAAATGTTGACCTTAATTATTTGTGCAGCACATTATGATTGTATTCAACTTTTTCCACCACAATCATGAGTTTCTAACATCTTGTTTCATTCTAAATGCGAGTGTGATTGATTGTCCCTCTTAACTCCTAACACCAACCCTCGGCTCTAACAAGAGGAGGAGTTTCTCCCTTCTGCGGATAAAATCCCCGAGGAGGTACTGAGTGCTACTGGGATGCCCTCGGGAGACATTGACGGCTCTGTAGACCCAGAGGTCTCTGGAACCTCTGGACTTCCTAGTGTCTCTGGCTCAGGAGACGTTGTGATCCTTGTGACAATTCGACCAGGTCAGTATCTAAGATTGAAGACAAAGGAAAATGGAAGATTGGATCTTAGACACCCTCCTAACTTGTTTTATGTGGTTTTTGTCTCAAGTATTTTCTCTAACCTTGTTGGCAATCACCTTTCATGTCATTAACCGAAAAAAAAATGATGTTCATGTAATCCTAATCCAGAAAAATGCATAAACACTTGTTTAACACTGCTAAACTGCTTCGCCGCTTCCTGTCCCGTGTCCACCTCAATCTAACCTCTGTTTTTAACACCTAATCTTGTCTCTAACAAGAGGAGGAGCCTTTTCCAACCACAACTAAATCCCCTGAGGAGGGGAAAACAACAAGTGTAGAAGAAGGGCCCTCTGGCTTCCCATTGCCAGAGGAGCCAGATGAGCCCGAAGTTATTGATGAAGGTTAGTACTATTCCGAGCCAAATCCTGACTGGGAGTTTTAACAGATCAAAGTCATAACAGGCAGTTGAACCAATGAAGCATAAAGGAAAAAGTGAAAAACATCAAATATATTGTGACTGGAGATGTTCAACACATAAAGTATGGTTTTACTGTAGTATTTGTAAATGCTTACGTCTGTGTAAATGTTGGGCTTCGGGTCATTTCAGGTTAAGAGGTGAGGGTTTATACCATTCTGAACAGCCTCAATCCTGCACGGGGGCTTTTGGGGTACATTAAGAAATATCTTCAGCCCTGTATGATTTACATTTGAATTCTGTTTCTATTCTTCCATGCCTTTTCCCTCTCGATGTTTTCCAGGATTGCCCGTTTGCTTGCTGTGCACATGCCTCGGCGGTTCGGTCTACTGTGACGACTTGAAGCTCAACAGGGTTCCACCTCTGCCCAAAGACACTACTCACTTCTACGCCCGCTACAACAGAATCACAAAGATCAGCAAGTCCGACTTCGCCAACATGAGTATGTGTCCCGTGTGAATGAAAATGTTTGGGTATTAGAGCAGGTATGTCCAGAAGCGAAGCTAACCTTTTTCACTGTTTACAACTCCAGAGTAGGTGTGAGCGGTCGGTGAGCACACAGCACGAGTATCTGAGGATGGTGTTTTATTGCCTTCCAGACAAGCTGAAGAAGATCGACCTGACTGCTAATAAAATAACCTCTATTGAGGATAGGACGTTTATGGGCCTGCCTGAGCTGGAGGAGGTGATAATCAGAGAAAATCACATCTCACAGCTGCCAGCCCTTCCCGAGACCATGACTCTGATTGATGCCAGCCACAACAACATTGGCTCAAAGGGGATTCATAAAGAGGCGTTTAAAGTACGTACACCTTCTTCAGTAGATTTCTTCCAATGAGTATGGTTGCAGAGCTGACAGAAAATTTGAGGCAAACTCGCCCCTTTTGCATTGCATGGTCTCATTTTAAGCCAGACTCCCAATACTGACTCTAAACAAACAGGGAATCCGTCATCGAAAGGTTTTAAAAGTGAACAGAATTACTTTATGACAGAAGCAGATCATACAAGTTAATGGCAACCACTTTGTCCAAGAAAAGACAGAGCTAGTTGTATTTTATATAGGGAAGAAGAACAAAGCATATGCAAAAGCAATAGCAGCAACAGTTTTGTAAATGACTCAGTCTAGAACAGGGGTGGAAAAGAAAAGTCCTCAACAGCTACTAGCCTGTACATTTTAGATACATCCCTTCTCCATCAAAGCTGAATCAAACAAATGGCTTCACTACCTCTGCTCTTTCTGTCAGAAAGGAAAACAAAAAAAGGGTTAATTATTTCCATTGGTAAAAACACACAGCGAAATGTAAAAAGACAGAACCATGAGTACTTTCTCTGAAAGACAAAGAGGACACAAAGTTCAATGGCAGCAATAGTTCCGCCCTGAAATAAGATAAATGCAGAATCAATGATGAGCATTATATATTATTCTATAAATAACATACGGATAGTTACAATGGAAAATAAAAATGTTTTGTTGTGCAAATGAAATGTTAAAACAAGTAATATCTTTGCTCTTCTCTGGATTACAGGACATGACTAGCCTGCTGTACCTTTACCTCACCGATAACGACGTCGATTATATTCCAGTGCCTCTACCAGACAGCCTACGCTCTCTACACTTACAGGTACACCAAATCTGGCTTCATATCTTGTTGCTGACTGCTCACTAATGGAGGGGTGTATATTTTTCAGTGCACGGTGTTGCATTCTTTGAATTAAACATCTTTCCAAACAGAACAACCATCATTAAATCGCACAGCTCTCTCCTTGTTCATTGCCAGATTTCAGAACTAAATCAACCAGAATTTTCAAGAGACTAAACGACTGAAAAACCTTCTTTTGCCTGTTCTGCTGCAGCGCAACAACATTCAGATGATGCACGAGGACACGTTCTGCAACCTGAACGACTTCAACTACATCCGAAACGCGCTGGAGGACATCCGTCTGGACGGAAACCCCATCAACCTCAGCAAGACCCCGCAGGCTTACATCTGCCTGCCCCGTATACCCATCGGGAATCTCATCTAACTTAGACTCCTGCAAACTCCTTTGTACATACTGACATGCAGAGTTAAGCTATATTCATTGTTCAAACTACCAGTCATTTCCGAAGGTGTGTTTCCTACATGCTGCTGACAGATGGAGCCAATCTGTAAGACTGCGTGCAATCTGCGCGGAAATGTTCGGCATCGCCCAACGAGCAAATACGACTGATATTCCAACAATCAAGCACATATACACTACCTTCTTCCTGTTCCTCAGTATTTTTCATGCCAACACAATATAAATTGTATAAAGTTTTACTCAAATACACATGCACAAGCACACAAACTTTTTATTTTGCCAATACTTCAGAAGTACAAATCTGTATTGTTCAAAGAGCCTCATCGGATGTTTATTTTTCTGTTCAGCGTCTCTTCCAAAAGCCAACCAGTAATGTGTTGTTTAAAGGTTCACTTTGTAAAAAATAAAATAAATAAATATTAATTTTAAGATTAATGACTAACACTTCTTTGGCAATGTATGCAAGCAAAGACTTTAATGAAGCTGGAGCTGGATGAGAATTGATGCAACGTAATAAACCAAACGCATTTAAACACAACTTCTGGTTGTAAAGTTTGTACTGTAATATAAAATAAATATATTTAGATTTTGTTTCTTTACACAAACTGACATAATTTTTTATATTTGATTGAAAAGGTCCTGTTTCAACTGTGCACAATAGTTTAAATCAAGAACTCTAATGTCTAGAGTCGATTAATTAAAGACTATTGTTAGGTTATGGAGGTGGTGGGTGGGTTTGGTTTGTTTTTTTTTTTTGGTTTTTTTTGGTTGTGGACCGGGTTTAGAATACTGTCATTGTGTGCCCTGTATGGAATAACCACAAGAGAATAAAGTCGTTTTAAAGACTTCTCCAATCTAGAGGTGGCTCAATGTTTTTGTTTTTTGTTTTTTATTGAAAACTTAAAAAAGATTGTTGGTAGATTTTACCTTCTATGACAACATAAAATAGAAAAGAAACATACAACCATAAATATATCTGCATTCTTTGCAAAACATCCACATTTGGAACAATATGCAGAATCGCAAACATCCACTTGAGGAATTGAATACAATCATGTGCTGCGCAATTTTATTCACCTGCCTTGAATTTTACCGTAAAAACCAAATTCAACATGTTTCACTGGGGTTTTATGTGACAAACCAACATAAAGTACTGAATCTATACATGGTAAACGATACATTGTTTTTGAAAATGTTTTACTAATAAAAATCTGAAAAAACTCTCTCGACTGGGAGACAGACGACACTTCACAACTATCCACTATTTTGTGTTGGTCTGTTACATAAAGTTACCATAGAAATGCTATGAAGATTTTAGTTTTAAATTGACTAAATGAAAAATAATGCAGGGCTGCACAGTGGTATCACTGTTGCCTTGCAGCAAGAAGGTCCTGGGTTCGATTCCCGGCCCAGTTTGTATGTTCTCCCTGTGCATGTGTGGGTTCTCTCTGGGTACTCCGGCTTCCTCCCACAGTTTAAAAACATGGTCTCTCTAAATCCTCCCTGGGTAGGTGTAGGTGTGTGTATGGTTGTGTGTCCCGTCTGTCTATGTGTTGCCCTGCGACTGACTGGTGACCTGTCCAGGGTGACCCCGCATCTCAGCCGAAACGTTCACTGGAGATAGGCACCAGCAACCCTTCTGACCCCAGTAGGGACAAGGGTGTACAAAAAATGGATGGAAAAATAATTCAACAGGTATAAACACTTCTGCAAGGCACTGTAATTTCTCCTCCAAAGGTTAAGGTAGTGCAAACAGTCATGGTATTAATTTTATTTTATATTTTTAAATGTTCTCTGCCAATTTTTCCAACAAAAAAAGAACTCGCTCTCTTTTATCCACTGCATCAGAGTTCATCACCTTGCTGTCATCCTCTGTGACCTCCTCCGTTCTCTCTTTTTGCACCATAAGTCTCAGCCACTTTGCTTTTTCCTTTTCCAGAGTCAGCCTCTCGCTGCGCAGAGCGTCTCTGTCCTTCTCCAGCATCAGCTTCTCCCTCTCCATCACGGCCCGCTCCCTCTCCATCACCGCTCTCTCTCTTTCCATCACGGCCCTTTCCCTCTCCGTCGCCGCCCTCTCCCTGTCCAGCAGCGCCCGCTCTCGGTCCAGAGCTGCAACGTCCTGATACGGGTTCTCTCTTTGCATAAGCAGCTGTTCACTCTTTCTCTCTTGGGGCTCGCAGTTCGTGCTGATGTCCACGTCTTGAATGGAACCGTTTACCTCCTCACTTTCTGCAAACTCTGTTGCAGCAGTCTCAACCTCATCTCCATACACCTGAACCTCGATCTCTGCAATAGCCGCTGCCTCATCTACAGCAGAAGACACCCCCGTGTTGGAAACCTTTCTCCTTTTGCGTGTGGGTGCTATTAAAAAATCGCCAACGTTGCTGTTATTAGGAAGGGCCTTGAGGATGGGGGCTGAGCTCTGCAGTCGACCCTCCATGGCATCATCCATCAGGGAGAAGAAAGGCCATGACTGAGGCACCACTTTGACTCCTGGTGGGGGATTCTTCAACTCCTGAGGAGGAGCGGAAGCAACAAATGGTAAAAAGAGTAAAATGGTCAAACTTTTAACTCAACTAAAGCAACCAAATCTGTACCTTGTATCTCTTCTTCAGGTTTTCAAATTTTTTAGAGGCTTGACGATGGGTCATCCTGTGATGCAAGCCCATATGTTTCAGGATGGCCCTGAAAATGATATTATTTCACTGGATTACCAACAGGATAGTTGGTTTAATAAGTGTACAAAAAAAGAAGCAGCTGAAAAGTTAGTTGATCAAGTTTAATTCACTTTCAATTGTAGTTTCATCTAAAATATTCTAAAATACCTTTGTTGAAAGTAAATTTTATGCATTGATTGTAGAACTGGGGGTTATGGATGATTTTGAAACGTTGCTTTTGGTAAAACTGCGTGGCATACATACCTCCATGCCCACTTGGAACTATTTCTCAATCCAGAGAAGAGGTAACTGTTTGAGGCCCGCAATTTCACAAAGTTTTCAATTTCTTTGTTGCTCACTGAAAAAATAAAACACAGGATAACAAGGGTTAGACACTGACAGGGTTCCTACACGTTTTTCAGTGCAAAACGAAGAGTCAAAATGCAAGAATTAAAGTTCAATTTGAATTTAAGATGGGTGGATGAATGGATAAATATATGGAAAAACGTGGGTGGGTGGATACAACTTTTAATCTGTGTAAGAAAGCATGGCAAGAGAAATGCTTCTATAAAATCCATTTTGTCTTCATCAATCAAATTCCAGAGTTTTCTCTACGTAGGAAACCTGTACTGATGACTATTGATGACACGAATCTTCGCCTTAATATTCACAATTTACCATCTAAAGTTAGCATAAATTATTTTAATATTACTTTTGTTCATAAAGACTTTGCTCATTAGCATATCGCTAAACACCAGACTAAAATGTTTGAAATACGTTGCAGTCGCTTTAATAAATACTCAAGCCTGATGTTAATACTTCACTATGTAGTAGCCTTGCTAGGTTGCTCCTAAGCTAACTCTGCCCAGTATAGTTAGCTTCGTTAAACCGTCGTCACTTACTTTTATAAGTGAACTCCGTCGGGATAATCCCATCACACATGGTGTTGGTGTAGGCGTGATCTGGCTGCGCAGTCATGTCCATTCTGCTTCCTGTAAACATTTACCAACAAAGCGTCCTTCGTAGTGGTTAACAGTCGTTCCTACTTCTGAAGGTCCCTACCTTCTTCTTCGTGAGTTTAAAAAGCCAGCAGAACCATCTCTCTGTCGCCATCTACCGTCGAGGTTGTTACACAGGTGATAAAAAGCATCATTTCATTTAATGCCATTTTAGGTGTCAAAAAGATACCTAATATAGTAGCAAACATTGGCAAAATAAATTTGACATGGAACTCAAACATGTTAAATAACATAATTAGTCAATAATGCATTTTTATACCATATTTAACTCAATTCAGTGCTTTTAAATAGCAGCAACTCACAGCAACAGCACTTTGTTAACAAGCTGTTATATCTGCTGAGCATCCTGTGTAATTTGCAGGTCAAATGAATATTCAGTAAAGAGTATATTGTCAATGGAGTAACATTTCATTGTTCTAATGAGATGATCTACTGTAAGTAATTGTTTCAAAGGCTGTACGTAGTGAGCAAATCCAATTTTAAAATGCCTGAAATGTGTCACTTGGCAACGAAGTTATTTATTGATACTCATTTTTATTTCATCTTAAAAATCCCAGAATTAATATTTTGAACTGTACCCTAACCGTCTTATTACCACATTCACAAATTAAATCAGATGTTATAACTAGTTACTTGAGGCTACAGTACTTTTTAGTCTAACTATCTACTTCTACCCGAGTAAAAAACATACTGCAGCTATTCTTACTTGAGTACAACTATGTACTACACTGATCGTTACTCACATGCCAACGTGCAGTACACATTAACACAAAATTTGACAGGTGCAAAAGTATGGCCACCTCAACAGAAAAGTTACATTAATATTTAGTAGATCCTCCTTTTGCAAAAATAACAGCCTCGAGTCGCTTCCTATAGCTTTTAATGAGTTCCTGGATCCTGGATTAAGGTATTTTTGACCATTCCTCTTTACAAAACAATTCCAGTTCAGTTAAGTTTGATGGTCGCCGAGCATGGACAGCCCGCTTCAAATCATCCCACAGATGTTCAATGATATTCAGGTCTGGGGACTGGGATGGCCATTCCAGAACATTGTAATTGTTCCTCTGCATGAATGCCTGAGTAGATTTGGAGCGGTGTTTTGGATCATTGTCTTGCTGAAATATCCATCCCCAGCGTAACTTCAACTTTGTCACTGATTCTTGAACATTATTCTCAAGAATCTGTTGAGTGGAATCCATGCGACCCTCAACTTTAACAAGATTCCCAGTGGCGGCACTGGCCACACAGCCCCAAAGCATGATGGAGCCTCCACCAAATTTTACAGTGGGTATCAAGTGTTTTTCTTGGAATGCTGTGGGGTTTTTTCCACCATGCATAATGCCTTTTTTTATGACCAAACAACTCAATCTTTGTTTCATCGGTCCACAGGACCCTATTCCAAAATGAAGCTGGCTTGTCCAAATGTGCTTTTGCATACCTCAAGCGGCTCTGTTTGTGGCGCATCACTCTCCCATACAGCTTCTCCTTGTGCAAAGTGCTGAATTGTTGAACGATGCACATCATCTGTAGCAAGGTGATGCCGCAGGTCTTTGGAGGTGGTCTGTGGTTGTCCTTTGACTGTTCTCACCATTCTTCTTCTCTGCCTCTCTGATATTTTTCTTGGCCTGCCACTTCTGGGCTTAACAAGAACTGTCCCAGTGGTCTTCCATTTCCTTACTATGTTCCTCACAGTGGAAACTGACAGCTGAAATCTCTGAGACAACTTTTTGTATCCTTCCCCTAAACAACTATGTTGAACAGTCTTTATTTTCAGATAATCTGAGAGCTGTTTTGAGGTGCCCATGTTGCCACTCTTCAGAGGAGATTCAAATGGGAGAACAACTTGCATTTGGCCACATTAAATACCTTTTCTCATGATTGGCTACACCTGGCTATGAAGTTCAAAGCTTAATGAGGTTACCAAACCAATTTTGTGCTTCAGTAAGTCAGTGAAAAGTAGTTAGGAGTATTCAAATCAATAAAAATGATAAGGGTACCCAAATTTTTGCACCTGTCAAAGTTTGTTTTGATGCATATTGCATATTTTCTGTTAGTCCAATAAACCTCATTTCAATACTGAAATATTACTGTGTCCATCAGTTATTAGATATGTCAAACTGAAATAGCTGTTGCAAACACCCAAATATTTAGAAATAAAAATGATTAAGATTGATAGGGGTGGGAGTGGTATTGGTTTATTGCAGTGTAGGCCCAGCATAGCGTTCATGGGTAAAACGAAAGTAGTTTAATATAACCCGGCGATGGCGTCTGCTCACGGTAAGCTGGCTTTCTCTCTGACCTCTATGGATGTATTTATGATTTTAAAAATAATAATAATAATAATAATAATAATAATAATAATAAAATAATAATAAAGTGCAACACTCTCTCTTATATATGCTGTATATTTATATTCCGTTTTTTTCTTTCTTTATTTAGCGCCGATAGTTACTGTAAAATAATGTCATTTTTGTAAAAAAAAAAATACATACTCAAATAAAAACAACAAAATTGTGTTAGATGTCACGAATAAGTAAGTATTAGATACAAAATACATTTTAAATCTCAGTCACGTATTGTACCGTAGTCAGATACTGACGTTCTTGCAGTTTGACAACTTGGAGTTTCGAGTTTCGTTTCTTCCTCAGCCAACATACAGAACATCTATAAAGTTCTTCTACTTACAGTTTCACAAATGGTCGTGAAATCTGCGCTTACCTTTAATCTCTGATTTAACATACATTATTAAGACTAAATAAATCTTGACTTTGGTTTGCGACCCAGCTATGAAATGAAACTAAAAGGACTCCACGAGTTCGCCAGCAGGGGGCAGAAGGCTCAGATGAGATCACGTGTTCTTGTGGACAAAATATATGAATGCTTTGTTTGTTTACTTATTAAATGACCACAAAAATAAACTATAGAGGTTCAGTTACTAGGGGGACCTCTAAAGGAAGCTGGTAGTATTATATTTTATTTTTGGTGCATCAGAGTGAAGAAGATGGAATACAATGCATGTAACACTTTTAATTTGTATGTAATTTTGACATAAACTTTCTGTTTTCTTTCACTTCGCCCTACTTTTTGTTGTGACGTAAACTTCTAATAACATTTTTGAAATGCTTTGTTTCCCAAAGTTAACCATATGATGATGACGACTGTGATTGTAAAAAGGATGGCTTGTCCTGCCTTGACCTGATACTTGAGTGAAATATTTTTCAGAGTCTGTTGAGGAAACTTTTTCTGAAAGCGAATCAGAAGACAGCGATGAGTCATACTTTGAGTCGGAGAGTGAGCAGGAGTCAGATTCAGAGGATGACAGTCAGGTCAGTTTCCAAACACAACCACACATAAACCCAGGAAATAACTAATCTAAACCCTCTTTTCCTTAAACCATTCTTTTCCTTTTTCAGATTTACACAAAGCAACCCTGCAGATATTACAACCGTGGTGGTTGTAAGGACGGGGCCCGCTGCTCTTACCTGCATGTGTGCAAGTATTTTCTAACAGGAAGCTGCCGCTACGGGTCAAGCTGTAAACTCAGTCACAGTTTGGGTGGAAGGAGGAGGTCATCTGGGGCGTGTGCCAGCGCCGAAGACCAATCAGCAGCCAGCAGTAAGAAGCTATTAACTTTGATTTATTCTTGTTATTTAATCATGTTGTTCAGGTAGCTCCAGTGGTCTATGTCACCAATTGTCTTTAAATAAATGTTATTTTTGTTTAACATTAGTTGCTTACCACATTCAAATGAAATTTATGTTTGTTTTTCAACCAGACCCCCAACTTACTGATGGTCGACCGTACCAGTGGCAGATAAATGGTGGAAAGGGCTGGAAGGATGTTGAAAATGATCACATTATCGAGGCCCAGTATTCGCTGCCCCACACGAAAAGCATCAAAATATACAACACACCATATGGGTAAACGTTTAAATCATATATATTTATCTTCCTTTGTTTAAATTTTAAAACTGTATTCAATTGTTACAAAGTGAAAATACATATCAGCAAGGTAAGAGTGAGGTTGCTGTCCTGCAGGGCGGTGTCTATAGACTTCATCAAAATAAGAGTCTATGGGAAGAACCTGAAGGTGAGGCGCCTGGATGACGGCAACACCGTGTGGAACTGGTACTGCACCTTAAAACGGAAGTGGAGGAAGTATGGAGACAAGGTAGACGGCTTCTGCATCTTTATTCTCGTTTAAACCTCGTACGGTAGGTTGGAGTGACGACTTGTGGTGTTTGCTGTGCTGTGGGCAGGACTCGAAGGGTAATCCAGGTCCGGTAAAAAGCTCCGACATAGAGAGGAAGTTCCAGAGCGACCCGAAAAGCTCCTTTACTTTCACGGCTGGCGTGGAGACTTTTCAAATTAAGTTTCCAGGTGACTTGCACTCTCTTCTCCAACTAGATGCAGCACTTTCCTAACGATTTACTTGACATCACTGACTCGATTTTGACTTTTGATAGAAATGCGACAAGTGGGAAAAAAGAAAAATAGGAAGGTCACACGACGACCTGTGTTCAGACAACAACAAGCGAGAGCAGGGTAAGTTTGGATTTGGTTCTCTAAAATCAGAGACATTTGAATTGTGTTCAAGTGTTTGATTTTTTTCTGAGTGTCATGCTCAAAATCTACAAAACCACACAAATATTGTATCCACAGCACAGCACTGTTAATGGACATCACTTTATTGTGTAATTACTAAAATAGGTTATAGTACGGGATATAATTACTTCCCTACAACTGTTATTGTCTGTGGACATAAAGTCTGAAAACAGCATCTACTTTGGGAATAAGTTCCTCCAATCAGTCTTTCAACTGATGAGCAAAGTTTTAGGAATCTTAAAGCGAAACATCAGCATGTCTTTCTGGTTATAGGTAGATTGACTTTAACACCAATTGGAACAAAAATCATTCTGTCCAAAAGCCTCAGACAGAAAATGTTAGATGTTTAAACAGGGAAATGCGCTTCGAAAATGCAGAAGAACGTCATTGTTATGGTGTGCACGTCCTATAATATACCAATGTGTAATTTTAGACATTGTAAATTACTCACCAATTTATTTTGAAACATTTTATTGAAATTTTTCGTATTTCGTCAGAAATTCATGTTCAAATATGCGCAGAATGTTTTAGGTTGTCCTAATTTCGTTTGCTTTTTTGTCTTTATGCTCCGCTAACACTATGCTAGCACCATGGAGCCATAAACATGTCTTTTAAAAGCTGCAAGTCCAAACTTTGATTTTAATTTTTCAGAGCCGCTCTTCTGGCCGGATCGTTCCAGACGCTTTCTGTGGGCACCAAACCGCAGTGGCAATTCGAAGGAAACGGTGGAAACTGGCACACCTTCAAACACAGGGTCAGCAGAGCATGTGGTTCAGTTTGATCTCAGAGACTTTGTTTTCCAGTTTAACTGCAACATGTTAGTTTGTTTCAACAGTCGGGCACTTCGTCTGACTGCTCCATAACCAGTGACGACATCGAGAACAAGTACCGGCTTAACCCTTCCGACACCATGAAGTTCAAAATAAACGGACAGCCCTACAAGCTGGATTTTGGAGGTCAGGATTGTTGACAATTCAGCATCATAAGACAGTTACCACAATTAGAGGATAAGTTCATCTTGTCAATCAAAGCAATTAAATAATACCTTTAAACATATATTATTTTTCCATTCCAGCGATGATTCAGATCAACCAGACAAACAACCGTAAACGCAAGATCAGACGAGTGCTGGTGTGAGGAGTAAAGACGGAGCTACTTTTCAGAAAGCAAACAATTGTGCAATATTGTGCTAGTGCATTGATTTAGGCTGTGTGTTTTCCAGTTACACCAGGGATAGCTCTCTAATAAAACTTTTAATGATGTTTACAGACATTATGACCTGATACTATGAAATATCAGTGAGGTTTACAAGTGAATACATGAATCCTGCCTGAGAATCCTGCACTAAAACAATCCAACTTGTAATTTGCAGAGTTGATGTTTGAATTTTTGATCTCAGAGTCTCAGGGGCGCTTCTCTATGGTTTTTTGCAGAGTACCGAAACCAACCGAAGGTTTTTCAGAAAACCAAAAAAATCTTGGTTAAATTAGAGGACATGGAATGTGATTTTAGAATCTGCCTATGGGAGATACGCAGACAGATTCCCTTGATGCAATAAAAATATTAAAATTAAAGTAGATCAATTCTGATGCACAGCAGATGTTGCTCAATTGTGCCTTATGCTTTACGTGCAATCTTTGTCGTTTACTCTTCTTTGCATGGTGCTTGTCTCCTTTTCCCGTCTTCTGGTGCTGATCTGAGAAAAGCCTCTGGTGAAGATCATAATCTCTTTTAGCAGAAACAGAAATAAATTAAAGTTTCAAATGTGTGTCAACTTTTGTTTATTTTAAGAATGAGGAATTTATCCTCCGATTTTTGTAAATCCTCTATTGATCAAATGAGACACCTTCAGTACCAGTTAAGGTCTGATAACTCATTTAATTTAATGACTTTATTTTTAAAGGAAATCTGGGATGTTTGTTTAAAAATATAACTTTCGGTCACATTTCAACAGATTTTGTTGCTATAAAATGGAAAGGAAAACACCAAATATGGCAGCATCCTATCCACAGTGACATGAGTGTAAACTTTGTAAGATATAATCAGAATAATCCACAGAGCATTTTATTTATTTGTAGTCATGGGCTGCATTTGATCTCTGATTTACAAAACCTTTATTCTACATGTGAAAACACACAAAAGAAATTTTCTAAGCTTCTTTTTGCATTTGGGTCACCTGTAGTAGATTCAAGCAGAAAAACAAAGGAGTTTTATTCAATAAATTTAAATGTTATTGGAAACTTTATTTATTCCAGAAACTCCACGACTAAGTAAAACACGTTACATGTATAAATCACAAACAAACTCATGTTTTGAAGCCTTTATTTCTGTTAGTTATTATGGTTTGATGTTCACAGCTACTGTGAACTCAATAATTATCTGCTTAAAGATTGTTATTTTCAAAAGTTACTTTTAATCTGACAAATCTAATGGGAAAATTTACTCTAACTTATTTCTGAAGTTAGTATACTTTATAGTTGACAGTTGCCTTTGAACCATTTGTTAGCACATGTAGCTACATCCATATGGCTGAAGACCAAAGAGTCCATCGTCACATATTGACAGAGTTAACTTGTAAAAAGCAACTGGAGTTTCCCCTCCCTCTCCCTCTCAAAGAAATGAAAGTGAAACTATTTATATCTGTGAAATGACAGCGTAGCAGAAGGATTTTAGCGCAAGTAAGTGGGTTGATTCATGTTGTGTTCATTTTGGAAATGTCATGTTAAGTCACTTTTGTGCGTAAACTTTCCAAATCTTGCCGTTTTAGTGTAGTTTATTTGTCTCAGCTTATGTGGAGTCTGAATCAGTCTGAGAACGAGGAAGTTGGTGTTTGGCTGTTATAATCACTACTTTCCCTACAGCTGGGTTTAGAAAGATCACAGTGATATGTAATAAAGTCCAAATCTCTGTGTTTGTCAGTGAGTGACGATCATTATCAGTGGCAACTGCTGAACGGCAATCAGTGGCTGAAAATCGACAACGATCATGTGATCGAGACTCACTACTGCCAGCCTGGAGCAAAGGGGATCAGCATCAACACAAGCCTCGGGTTTGTATTTCTACGCTCTGCTTAAAATAGGTTTGGCCATGTATCTACAGAAACCACATGAATAATACCATGGTGCATTTTTTTTGTCAATCCACAGGGTAGTTTTTATAGACTTCGATGAGCTGAAGACTGATAACCCAACACTGAGGGTGCAGAGACTGAGCTTTGTCCCTCAGGGTCAAGAAGAGGACATCGGATGGTACTTCAGAGACGACAGCCTGTGGTGTGAATATGGATCACAGGTGAAGAAATGTGTTCTCTCTCTCGGGGTCCTGACACTTTGTCTGAGCTAATGTCTTTCTTGTATCATGAACTATTATAAACAAATGCAGCAGTAGAAACGGCTTATGAGGCTTTCCAGTAGCTGTGATCTTGAGTTCTTGTGGAGTATGAAATTTCCTGGTGTTTTTGTTCTTGGGAGGGTGTTATTGTGAACAAACGCTGAACATTTTTCATCCTCCTCACCCCCTCAGAGCTCCAACATGTCATCGTCGTCCATCACCAGCAAAGACATCGAGACTCATTTCACTCAGAACCCTCAGGGAGTCATTCAGTTCAGCGTTGGCTCGACCGGATACTCACTGGATTTTTCCAGTATGTGGCTTTGACGAGTTTCTGGGAGCTATTTCTACAATCAGGTACACATTGTATGTATGCAGTTAGATGTAACTGAAGGCGTTTAAATTTGCAGCCATGACCCAAACCAACGTCGCTACAGGCTTGCGCAGAAACGTGCGCAGGAGACCGAAATTCACCTCAAGCCCTGCAAGGTGAGATTTTTCAACCTTGGTTCAGTCATGCCCATGTAAATGAAGTGAAAGATTCTAGCCTCTCTCAGAATAACAATAAAAAAAAATAAATACTTCACTTTATGTCCCTGCAGCATTAGCTACGCTTCATCCCTCCCTCTGGCTTCACAATCCCAGTTACACAATCCCAGCTTCAAGTGGGAGTTTATGGGAGATGAGGGGCAGTGGACAGAATACCAAGCACATGTAAGTACAGCTTCTTATACACCAACTTTATTCTCCAACTTCCAAAATTGTAACCTTTGAACATGCATTCATTTCATCCTTAACTTTTGAGTGTCATATTAACCCTTCTGCAATGATTGGGGAGACTCAACAGTGACATCTGGTGGTTATTTTGTCACATGTCATATTTACGTTTCAGTGTATGTTATTGAGATTTTTACTGGATAGATCAACACAAAATAGTTTAGGGGTTTTTTTCCTACAAATAAAAATCTTTCAAGATGGAAGCCTGTGATTGTATTCAGCCTTTGAAGAAACAATCTTTTGTAGAAACACGTTTTCCTGAAATTTCAGGAACGAAGACTGAAAAATGTTCCCGTTTGTCCTTCTAACACGATTAAAGTTCAGACAGATTTATTTGAGATATTCTGTGAACATAAAATTTTAAGTTTTGACGCAGAATACATATTGAATAAAGAGCTTGGCTTCTTCCATAGCATGATGCTGCCACCACCGTAGATTCAGCGTAATTAACAGTGCTTCTATGATCAATGCTTTTCCTTTGTTGCTTTGTCTACATTGTCTTAGTTGCTTTGAAGTTGTGCCATAAACTTTTTACTTGCAGATTATGAAATAAGAAGCACCATGACATTATCCAAGCTAAATGTAGCGACATTTATTTGTGATGATGCCTATTTGTTTGCAGATATGTTCGCTTGACAGCGCTGCCATTGAGAAGCAATACCAGCTGAACCCACAGGGCCAGATCCTCTTCAATATCAGAAACTTCTCATACAAGCTGGATTTTGCAAGTAATAACCACAATTCATTCTCAATAATCCACTATTTAATTCAAGAAGCCTCTGAAAACCATTATTGATTGCAGGAATGTGTCAAATTAATAATAATATTGGGACAAGACGAAGCGTGAAGCGGATTCCGGACTACGGACCTCAGAAAAACAACAGGTAAATCTTTTTAGACATGTTGTTTAATTTGAAAAGTTTATGACCAACTTCCTTTGGAGTAACTTAGTCCTTACATGAATGAATATAACAGTATCTATATGATGTTTCCACTTATGCTCTATTAATCCCCTTAATCTATTTCTGCCTTATCTTCCTCAGCTCAGGTACAAATGTCCATTGGCAGTTCCAAGATATCGATGGGACTTGGAAAGATTATTCCAAAGTAAGACTGAGTATCTCCTTTTATTAATATGAGAACAAGCAACGTTAGAAGACTTGCTAATAAGCAGCCAAACTGTACCTTGTTTATGGTGTCGTGCAGAGTTATCGTCAATGCAGCGTCTCCAGTCCAGACATTGAACTCCAGTACCAGCTGAACCAGTCAGGCATTATGACATTTGCCACCGGCAGGTTCAGCTACGAGCTCAACTTCTCAGGTGAGCAGCAGAAAGAGAGGTGAAAGTGAGCAACTATGTAGTTCAGGCGATGCAAATACAGCTGTACTCATACGTTATGCAGATGATATTGTGAAATTTTTGCATGTGGAATAAGTTCATGTACCCCGTCTGCTTGCAGCCATGACTCAGAGGAACCTGTCCACAAATACCACCAGGTCGGTGAGACGACTTCTCCAGTGATTGGGACGGATTGTTCAGAGGGAGGAGAGATATTTGGACGTTTTCCTCATAAGCCATCTTGTTTCTATCTTGTTTGGTGTTTACAGTACTGTTGACCTGAATGAGGCTGAGATGCTCATAGGTTTTCAGTCCACTTTAGAGTTAAAATTTGGGTTTACTTTCTGACAAGATACAGAATATCTCTTATCTAAAGTATGTTCTCGTACATCATTCTGGGCTCCTACAGCTTTTCATGTCAAAATCCCAAAATTGTCTGTACTTCCCAACCTGCTTTTCAAGTATAAATACAAGTGAAGTTAAGGCAGATAGTGATGTCAAGCTTTAAGTCTAGAAGCTGCAAAAATATCTGAATGTGAATGTAAGAAAGTCTGCAGATACAAATATGGAAAATACTTAAAAATGTCTGACTGTGTGGGAGCTCTGCTTCGTGTTTCAAGAACCGTACTGCATGCACTGGACCGGTTTGCAAAATGGTTTACTTTATGTTAGTTAGCATTATGTAATGAAACTAAGTGGCATTTTGGATTAAACATTTAACGTCACAGTGGTTTAGGATGTAATAAATGCAAAGACATTTAGGTTATAGGTTACATTTTAGGTTCTTTTTGCAATATTTTGGGCCATGATGCACCTTTAAATGTTCATAAAATCTGCCACAACCAAAGAACTTCGTATTTGTTTTTCACTTTTATTAAGATGTCTTAAGCTATTGTTTTCCCTGTTCTAATGTATCTAGAAATGTTTAATACAATTGTTTCCTCTTCAAATAAAAGTGATCACAAAAAAATAATAATAATCAAACCAACAGTGACCATATTTTGAGAATATTGGATTGTATGCTTTTATATATGTACAGATCTTCATGGAACCACTTCAGAAACCAGCACCTGGACACAAAACGAGGCTCACACTTCACACACAGAACAGCAGTAGTTTACAAACGGCCTAATCAAAGACCGAGTTTCAGTTAGCTTTGGGGTTCTGCTACAATATGTGAAACGACACTCCAGTAAACCAATCGAGTTAATCAAAGCAAAGCGTTAACAGTGTGGAAATGAACAGAACCTGAAGAGCAAAGTTTATATTAAAACATTAAATAAAAGACAATCATCAGCAGAATCAATGTAAGCGAGGTGAATCTAAAAGACCCAAAATGTTTAATTCAGAGTGAATTCACATTAATATCTAGTCATTAATAAAATCCGACAGAACAGTGAAGTTCACTGCAGGTCAGCGGAGAAAGTCACACACAACGAGAGCTGGTTCCGACAAACTATTTTCACCCTCAAGAACCGAAAAGGATTATTGCACTCGACTCATCTAAGGCCTCTTAACCCAGAATCACAAAAACAAAAAGATGCCAGGGGCCTCTTGGAGCGCTCCATGTTGAAATAACTACACAGTTTCATTTCATATTAATGCACATAAAGTATGGGGATTGTGATATGGTTGGTCACATGACAAAAAAAAATAATCTGTAATATTAGTTGATAATAAGAAAAACAGTTTTAAAATTGATCTGGTCAGTGAAACGCAACCAAGCAAGTCACATCCATTGGAACAATTTTGTGTAGGCATGGGTCAGTTACTCTTATCAAGGTAAAAAAAAAATCTTCAATAACTGCAAACGTTTTCCGGTGCATCGTTCCCAAATCTATTTTAGTTTTTTCCCACGTGGAAATATTTCCATCCGTAGCTGTCTTTACTTTAAAAATGGCAACTAAAGGAGCGCCATCCACCCCTATCTTTAAGGCAAAACATGTTTTAAAACTACAGCATAAAAACTGAGAATCTGACACAGCTACTTGAGCAGATAGCCTGGCTAACACCAGGTAGTTTAAGTTTAAGCAGAATGTAAAAAGAATAGAAAAGTTGTGACAAAGCTACAACTAAATTTAGCAGGTGTTTAATAGTTTTGCTTAAGCCTTTGTATTAAAATTCAAATAATAAATAAATGTTGCAAAAGTCCACTGAGAAATCAGTTGCTGAGAGGAAATCCTGACCAGAAACTCATCTCACTGCTTACAGGCTGAGGTAGTAACTAATAATTTTGAGGAAGAACAAAGAATTGCATTTTTACAACATTTTAGTGATTCCTAGAAGTTATGTCAACTAGATGGAGCAGAACTTAGAAGAAATAGAGCTCAAAGTAAAGCAAAATTACAGTTTTATCTTCTAACATGTTGGAGAATTGGAAATGTTGGCAACTTTTTTGAAATCTCAGATCCAGAAAGGTAATATTACAACTAACAACTTACCTTTGCAACATTAGGAATCATTATTAGTTTTCCTGTTTTAACAAAGAATAACATAATTTTTATTTTTTGTTTGTTGTGTGTGTTCATAGTATAACACCACGGTATGATCCTCAATATAATATAGTAATATTTTACCCTGACCCATGCCTACTTGTGTAGCAATTGAGTGCTGCTTAGTTTTAGACATGTACCCTTGTAAGGCACAAGAACAAAAGAAGTGCATACTTTCCACATCGCCTTTAGCGTTGAGCACAGCAGTAACAGCCACTCCGCTATGACCAGAACCAGGAAGGAGAAAGACTCTGCAACAACAGAAACCAGGATATTCACCTGCAAAGCTGATGAAAGCAAATGGAGGCCAATGTGCAAGGAATGGAGGTAAATGTGGAATGAAGCCCAGAAGGATTGTCCAGTTTATCTTTAGAGAAACATATACAACATGTGAAACCGCAAAAAAAGCGGTTTTCAAAAGCAAGCCTGCCTCCCAATTAAGTCGCACACCATGTTCCTTAACCTGAACCTCAAAATGTTCTGGAAAGGCAGTGGAAGTACAGAAGCCTGAAAGTGAGCAGATGTGAAGTGAGCACAGCAGGTTTGCAACATTTCCTAAGTATGAAAATGAAAAAAATCTTGTTCTTTTAAGCAAAATACTCTCCTTCCATTTGGACAATGAACCAAACTCAAATTCATCTCGACCCAATCAACATATTTGCCTGGGAAAATACAAAAACAGTAGGAAACCCCCAGCATTGAAAGACTGAAGCGTAAAAGAAGGGAAACCCACACCGGACCGTTGGCGCGGGTTTCATTTTCCAGCAGACCGTCAACACGAGACGTTAAATTAGACGAGATTAAAAGTACAAAAACACCTGTGAAAGTGCTCGACAATCATCTGCGATAACTCAAAGCTCTCATCTCTACAGTCTTTAAAAGAATATACTTCATCAGGGGGTCGTTTTCGTTTCTTTTTTTTTTCCGTCCCCCGTTTCGGTTCAGCCGAATAAGTCCTGCAGGTCATTGTTCGCAGACGCGCTCGGTTTCACTCCGCCTGGGTTCATGCTCGGGGCAGAACCCGGCTGAGAAAAGTTCTGTGGGCTGAAGAAAGGGTTTGCCTGCATCCCAAACCCGCTGGGCATCCCTCCCATCCCCACCGCCATCGGAGTCTGAGTGTTCTGGGCCGATCCGAACTGATTGGCCCAGGGGGAACCACCTCCAGGTGCGGCCTGCGGACCTATTTGGTTGAGAGAGACTTTGGGCTTGTTGGGCGTAAACAGGTTGTCCAAGGCCGACAGGTCGGGCGGTCTGTTCGTCAGCCCAGACGCTCCTTGATTCTGCGTCAGAGCCCCGAAGTTGGGGGTGCTGGTGGTGGAGGCCATTCCTCCGTAGAGGCCGGGGCCCGAGGGCCGCATGCCCATCCCAACGCCCCCAGATTGGAAAGCCATGCTGGGGTTGAAACCGTTAGAGACCGGCACCATCGGACCGGATGAGGGGAAGGCGGACATGGTGGCGCCTTGTACCGGGGGGGCCCGCGCTGAGCTCGCCAAGGACAGGGTGTTTAGAGACGTCATGCTGTTCAGCAGGCTGCTGGTCAGGTCTTTAGTCTGCAACACAGAGGCGAGTTAAAAACCCAACACATTTTAGTCCAGTTGTGCGTTTTTGTTTGGGAGAACGTTTCTGGCTTCACCTGTGAGTTGCTGGAGGACGAAGGTTTGATGGCCTGAGGTGCCAACGGCTGCTGGCTCCTCAGCTTAGCTGCCTGTTCCTGTTCCTTGGCTAACCTTTGTTTCTCTTCCAGAGTCAGAGAAACCTGCAGAGCAACAAGAACGCGACTGGATCACAGCCAGAACCCTCCATATTTATGAAAGACCTTCTACAAAATCTTACAAATATTGCGTCAGTGTGTGAGCAGTGATACTACACGCGTTCATATTAAGATGACGATATCCAGTGTTACTACCATGAAACTAAAACTTGAACCAGCTTTAATCAGTGTGCCTAGGAACCCTCAATTAGTCATATGCAACATTTGTCTTCCTGAATATATGAATATTAGGAGGACAGAGGTCAAGAGAACACGAGGAGTTAGGTCAACACTTGAAATAAATAAAAGTGTTCAATAAAATCACAGTTTTGTTCAGGTGTATTTACATTTGGTGTGGGTAAACGTGGAGGAAGCTGCAATGAGATCATTTGAAAGAAGGTGTGTGTGTGTGTGTGTGTGTGTGTGTGTGTGTTTACCCTGTTAGGCTGCGACGGTGTTGCAGCAGATCCATTTTCTTTCCCATTAACACCCGCGCTGCCAAATATGTCGTCAATCTGAAAGCAAACAAACGGCGATCAACAGAAACCCATACGTTTGCAATTTCTTTATATTTCACTGTTTTAAATGTAGAGTCAAAGTTATTACCTGGTTTCCAGAGCTTGGTGGGCTTTTAATTTCTTCTGTGGAATTCCCTGGATTTGTGATGTTTAGACTCCTGTTATACAGAACAGGAAAAAAACATTCAACATCATATCCATTAAACAGTCTCATTATTATGGTCGATTGTTCAATAAAAACCTCTGCTGCTCCTGCATGATATGCAGCTGCTCCAGTTTGGTTTTGTGTTCAGCTTCCATGCGGTTCAGCATGTCCCGGATTACCATCATAAAGGAATTAAACTACGAGGAAACACACATTAGCTCAAGTTATGAGAAAAAATACACTTTATATAAATCACATCCACTAACCAGTGGTGTACCTGATTTAGATTTAGGTTGTTGTCGATACTAAGAGAGACAAGGTGGGGCAAACTCTTTGTGGCGAGATGCTCTTTGGGGATGCCAAGCTTCTTGTGCGTAAAGGTGCATTTATAGATTCCTAAAATGAGCAGCGACCAATTCAAATGAGCATTTAATGTTTTTTTTTAAAGTGTCAGAAAGTTATTGCAGCCGTTGTTTGTTTACCCAAAATCCCCATCAGGACAGCTGGCTCTCTGGAGGGGATCTGCTGAAGGAAGGGAAGGATTTCATCGATGACATACCATTTATCCAGATATTCCAGAATCTTCCCCAGACACACCAGGGAGTTCACTCGCACCTGCACCAGAACACGAGATGCAGATTAATTAACTTAAATAAGAAATAAACAAGTAGACAAACGAGAGCTGAGCGGGAACGACTGATGGAAGACTCACAGCGAGAGAGGACGTCTGCAGGCAGGCTGACTTGATGCGCGGGATGAGAGAATTCTTCATGGACGGATAGTCAATCAGGTTGGCAAACGTCGGGATGATGTTCAGGCACAGCTCCTGCTCAGCCAAGAAGAAGATGTGACAGAATGTGACAGTTTTATGATGCCAAGTGCAGCGTCTGCACTCCCTGTCCTCTGGAGATAAGGAGGTGATTCAGAAATGTAAAGGAAGGCTCCAAGATTTTGCTGCAGAATGCTTGAAATATGCACAACAATGCTTTAGGGATAGGCAGCTAGTCTGGAAAAAACGGATGTCTAAAGTGAAAAGAAAAGCAGCTGAAAGCATTTTTATAACAGTGTCAAAATATTATCATTTTCTGATTTTTTTTTTACTTCTGGAACTCAAAATCAAAAACTGAAAATCATATTATATAGACTGAATTGTTTATCTGTTAACTTGGGTGTGAATGGCTTACAGCTTATGAAACCCAGAATTATGTTTCCAAGTGCAATAAAATATTACATAAGGACAATAAATTTTTTTTTTATAATTTTCTAAAACAGAAATGCGTTGGTACAGAAGGGAAAAACGATGACATACAGGCACTTACAAGTTAAGCAAGAAAGATAAGCCACAACATGTCACTGCAGAAGAAACTGGCTTTTTACAAAATGCTGCAATCACGCATCTTAATGGAAAATTTAGTGGAAGGAAGACATTTGGAAACTTATTTCTTAGCTATAAGACATATTGCAACAAAATGTACAAATATCCAATGAATCTACATTCTTGTTTTTGAATTTAATTACTGAAATAAATAAAAATGATCAATGCCATTCTCACTGAGATCCACCTGTAAAAATAAACCGAGTGAACAGTTTTCCATCTGTACCTGGATCTGAACTGAGGAAGCCTCCACAGCCCTGTAGACCATGGGAAGCACGCTGTTCTTGATGTCATCTGGCGGCGTCTTTGTCAGCAGAAGGTCCATCTTTTGCAGGAATATTAGCAGGATCTGAACAACAAACACTCAGTTAGGGTGAAACTCAGCGGCATGGCAGCCTGTCTCTAGAACAGCATGAGGGCAAGTTAGGTGTGATCAGTGAATATGATCTGAGTGAGTTTAGTGCAGATGTTATTGCTAGACACAACACAAGTCAAGCTTCTAGCTGAGGTGTGACACGTTCACCACAACAAAGACCACTCACCATGTTACTAGCCTGAAGAGGCGTGGAGAGAAATACAGAGAAAAGACTTAAAACGGATGCAGTAAACCCCAAACAGCATGCTCTTTAGTCAGGTTAAATTTACAGTTTTAAACATGCATGTCATCTCTTGAGCTTCTTGAGACAAATCAGATACATTTGACAAATTTTACTTTTTTTTTTTTTTTTTATGCCAAACTTTCAGAATTTTCCAAACTCAAAACGTCACCTTAAAATCTCGGCAGATGGAGTGGTAAGAGTTTCAAAAGGTTTTTCGTGGATGGACGGGTATTTTAGACAACAGGATAGTGAATAAAGTATGAAAAAAGTCGGAGATTTTTTCCATTCTTTATCTTCTTTTCCCATACTTATCCACACCTGGACAATACTTAAATCTTCAAAACAGGAATTCTGTTTAAATATCTTAAAGAATCAGGTGTCTCCAGCACAAGTCTGTCCCTTGGTTCTACCTGGAGAGGCTCCTGCTGTTTGAAAACAGGCGTGAGGTCGGGCAGGATGAGGCGAATGTACTCCTCCTTGGTGCACTCTTCGGCAATAAGCAGCACATTCGGCAGCACAAACGGAACCATGTCTGGGTTGACGAACTCCGAGGTCAACGCCGGCAATATGCGGTACACCACAACTCTCTGGGCGGAGAAGGAATAAGGCATTCAAGCATGGGCTGAAGGGAAGCAAAAGAATCACACTTTGGATTGTAAAAGTATTGTTTTAAGTTTACCTTTGGTAGCTTTGGCAGCACTTTTGGTAAACCTTTGTAGAACTGAGATTTCTGCAGGTTGTCCCGTTGGAAGAGTGTGTCAAAGTACTGCAACGTTACTGCCCCGACATCATCGAAAAATGGGATCTTGCATTTAACATAAAGATGTGTAACATGTCAGACGTGAACATCGTAATTGGTCTGTTTCTTTTGTACGTTTACTGACGGACTAGAAGAGCAAACCTTAGTCATCTGGTCTGCATCCGGTCGGACCGTCGGCGACACGCTGAGTAACATCTTGACGTGCTCTCGCACATCCTGTGGGATCTTACTCAGCAGTGCCGGATTCATGCTGCTCAGCTACAAATTTAATACAAACGTTGAAAGAAAATGAATGAATAACTGAATAAAAATCGACATCCTCACTTTGCACGCGTTCCAATTTGGATCTGGACTCACCTGATCCAGCTGCCTGCTGAAACTCTTAAAAATATCGTGCTTGTTGACTTGGATTACAGGCTTGCCTTCGTTGAAAACGGCGTGCATTACGACTCCGAGAGAGTACATGTCGGAGGCCGAGTCGCAGCTGACGGACAGGATGTATTCAGGGGCCAGGTACTCCGGGTTGGGGAGGCAGAGCGGCGGAAGGTTGGGCTCCCACTCTTTACATGTGTACTTTGGCTGAATCCAAGAGAAAACGGGGGTGAGAATGTGAACGAGGAGGAAAATAAAAAGACGCTCAGTGAAACTTCTGATTTGCACCGCAACTACCTCGGCGTCCGAAGGGTTAGTTGAGGATATGCTGAAGTCAAAGCCCATGATCTTCCAGGCTCCGCTCTTATTGAGGATGATATTATCTGGACACAAGTTGCCGTGGACCATCTTAACCCCGCTGTGAAGAAACGATAAACCCTCCGAGATCTGAAGGGACAGAACAAACAAAAACAAGTAAATACAAAGCAAGTGAGCTGGATTTTGAGCAACTGCTGAGCAACAAAAGCTTGATATCCACTCTTAACTGGGGATTCTTTTAAATCCAGAGATGAACACACAAAAAATGATTTCACAAAGGCACCTTTTTTTTGTCCAAAGGAAAAACGTCAGGTTCTCTTTCTGTGCACATCCCTAACCCCTAAAGAAATATAATAGTATGTCTACACTGAATAATACAAGCTAAATAGATGAAGGAACAGCCTAATAGTTTTAATGAAATAAAGCAAAAATGTAAGTTAAACTGAGAGGATAACTTGTGAGGAAATGAGCTGGCATTCCAGCCAGCCAGACATCGTCGCAGTATTGACAGGAAAAAGGCGAGGCTTGCAATTGATCTGGTTTTACTGGCTTTTAGACAAAACGGCATTTGAATGCATGTCAGGTCCACGGGAGAAGAATACGGGGTTCTGAAACCTGCTCAACAGCTGCTTGGAACCCTAAAACAATCCATTCGACTGGGTGGAAGACCTGCTGCCAGCCTGACATTTAATAGACCAAACAAATGTCTAAAGCAAATGCTGAACTAATCAATCATGACCACAAATATTACAATCAGCTTCAATGCATCCAGTCTCACCTGTAGTAAGCCATATTTGGTCTCCACATCATAGAGTTTGTATTCTTTGATGTCTTTGGGCACGGGGCTGGGCAGGTTGTCCCACTGGCCCAGCACGTTGGACAGACTGGCGAACACTGGCTCTGTGCAGAATGCCAAGCAGTCCCTGGAGGCCGAATTAAAAAAAAAAAAAGAACAGCTTCATCTATCATCCTTTGAATATTGATTGAGCCTTTGTTCACATACAACAACCGCTCAGGCAGACAAAACCGTTTGTTCTGCGTTATTTTCATCGCCGTGACTCATTTTTGTTTGTCCTTGATAACGCCGCTGCGTGAACGCATCGACGCTCGTCTCACCGTGACTCTTCCAGCGGATGCTGCACGGTCAGGAGGCGCGGGTGACGCAGTCTGGTCAGCTGCTGCACCCCTCTCTTCAGGGAATCGATGATTTGGTCCTTGTCAAACTTCTGGTACTTGTCGATCATCTTCTTATCAAACACAAACACTGCTACTTCCTGAGCGAAACAAAGACATTAGAAGTGTCCAGCTGTGGAGATCTTTCTGTTTCAGGATTTCCAAACATTAATTAATCATTGACAAAGAGACTGAGCCCTCAGGAGGGTGTGAACACACACACACACACCTGTTTGGTAGACTTCTTGGTCCCATTGTAGATCCTCCAGCAAAGGCCAGGACCTCCGCTTGCGATATGTCGGCCAACCTCAAATTCCCGCGTCACCGGGTTGCCCATGACGGCGCTGGTGACATCTGCCGTCACTTTAGTGACAGTGCTTTTCAGTTTGTTCAACATCGACTCCATGTTCAGGCTTAATCCAGCAGCTGAGGCAACAGATCAGTGGTGAACACAGAGGACAGATAAGCAGTTTAAACAACAACGTGCAGACAGAGGGGAAATAATAGTTTTTGCAATTACTGAAAGAGACAGCTGTACTGCTTTTGTCAGAGAGAAGCTGAAACAGGAACCCTGAAGCACCTGCATGAACATTTGCACATCAAAGAGCCCACCAGCATTAAGGCTCTCTTTATAAACCAAAGCAGGGTCAAGCAAAACATTCCCGTTTGCGCTGAAGCACTTTTCTGTTTCGACAGTCTCCTAAGGAGGTTGCAGTACTATAATTTAAGCCGTGAAGTGCTCAAAAATAACTATTATATTCATCAGCATTCACGGTATAGATTTATTACAAACCCAAGATGGTTTCTGTAATCCAGGTAAAATGGGCAGTGCACTATAAACCAGCTTTCCCCGAGCATGAAAGCTAGGGTTTAAATTATTTGGGGTTTGAAAAGAGTTACAGGGGCCAAAAAAAGCCCCAGAAAATAATTTTTAATCACATGTTTGTTCTGGTAGACGTTAAGTGTAAAGCTGCTACATGGACTAGTGATGTCCGTTTTAAAGGCAATGACTGAGTTCCCCTTTAACCACCTGAAGACACTTCCTGCAAGACACGTCAAATATAACCAAAGTAGGTTAAAAACATGGCTTAGCTACACAACTTGTTACTGCTGATAGGTTAAGCCACGTTTAAGTGATTAGTTAGAACTAGTAAGCGTTATTTTTTCTCTTTATCAGACAGGTCTGATTGTGAAATACCTTGGGGTTAGCCAAGTTAGCTGTCTTGTATAGCCTAAACGCAAACATCCACTCCAGCCCAGCAGAGACATCAAAACTATCGTAAATGTGTCATTTGAATACTTCCTCTGATTTGTGACAAAACCCTTCAACTGACATTATCCTTACGAAATGCTGTCAACAAATATAAAGTATTTTACTAAGATATAACCAAGCTAACAAACTAGCCGCCAGCTATGCGCAAGTAAACAGCGGCGTTATAATCAAGAAACAGCCATTTTCACCCAAAATGTGTCACTTTAAACCCCCCAAGCTACTTACCGTAATACAAAAGAGACTCTCGGGTTTCAGTCTGGTTCTAAATGGATTTCATGCGGCGCTACTATCAGTAATGGCTGTGAAACACAGCCCCCATGTCTTCTTCCAGCAGCAGACGAAATGAGTTAGCTTAGCATGCTAGGTAAACGACAGAGCTTACTTCCGGGAATTTTTCAGCGGCGTCAGGTGAGCATACGTCAACATTTTTCCAAAAAAAGAAATAAAATAAAAAAGTATCGAATTGTTTCAGGAAAATTTTACCTAAGTTTTCACTGGCATAAAATGTAACAAGTAAATGTTAATAATGTGAATTTTGAACAAAAGTTTTAACAGCCATGAGCCAAGTTTATACAATTATTTCCTCTAATAATTAATTGTCCACAGAATAACAAGCCAAGACTCGTTGATAAAGTTTAATTTCCCTGTGGGTTAAATAAAGTATTTTTGAGTTGAATTGAACATGTGAATACATTTTCAAAACAAAAACTGAAAAGTGTGGCATGCACTTGAAGAAAAAGTTATTTTACATACTTTTCATTTTGTTACATAAAACCACTCAAATTATGGAGGACTCCATATAAGATACAATGTAGTATGTAGAGATAATGTAACTGAATGTGGTAGAGTTACAAATGGATATGAATAGTTTTGCAAGACATTAACCGACTCACAACTAAACAAAGGTAAGTACAATAAAAATTTAAAAAACAAACTTATTTGAGAAAACAGCTTTTATTGCATGTTCTGGTACATGTTTCAACATCATAAAGTGCATCCTGTCCTGATTTTAGTGTTGGCAAATGGCAAAACTAAAAAAACGAGAGTAAATAATGGTTCTATCAACATGGTTTAAAAAAATTATTACCAACTTCTCACATTTCAAAGTTAAATTAGTATTCAACAATTATGCAAAGTCATAACACACAATATCCTTTGTATTAAATCAAGTGTTTAAAAGTTTAAATAAAAATTTTTTTGAGTAAGTAGCACTTTGTATCCTCAAAACGCCTACAATTAAAACCTGAAATGTTACCCTGAGCTACATCAATGCTAACAGTAATCTACCTTTTCATTTCAGTTCATTTAAATATAATGTAAAACATGATTCATACCATAAACTTCAGTGACATTAGTCTTCAGTCCTTTCATCAAAACAAGATAAGCTACAGCAGTGTTTTTTTTAAACAACTGAAAAGATTGAAATATAAATGCTTTATGAAGAAGGGCAGAACAGAAGTGCAGAGTAAGAACCGCGAATCAAAACAAAATTAGGATTTTTTTTGTCCAAATCCAGCATCTAATTTCAGATATACTCAATCAGCAACAAATCTCAACTATAATAACCTGATACATTTAAAATGACCATGTTAAAATAATTTTCTTTAACAATATTTGAATAAGCTGCAATGTTTAGCTGAAAAATGTTTCATTTTCTTTCTGCTAGACATTCAGTGGTTGCATTCCAGTTATTGCTACTGAACCTCACACAGCAGTGCTTGTTTTAGAAAGAGCTTGAAAAATGCTGGAGGAAGACAACAGGGTGATGTTTTTCAAACTCTTTGAGCAGCTTCCTTTTCTGCTTGGCAGCCATGTTAGCGTTGGATGAAATGTCTCGGAGGAGTTGTCTGAGGCTTTCCAGAGTCGTGGCGTCACGCTGGTCTTCGTACTCCTGAAGGGTTACCCGCTGGCAGAACGTGAACGCTGCTACACAGAGAAACATTTACTTACTCTACGTTCAAAAGACGTTCTAACTTGGTTTGATCTAGGAGCAACAGCGCCCTCAAGTGGAGATACAAATTAACTACTAAACAAAACCTTTCGCAACATCAAATGCAGGTTAAACATCTAAAAAAAATAAATTTACATCAGAAAACATATTCATATGAATGTAGTTGTTATTTTAGATGGCTGGTTTTAACTTACAAGCCACTGAGTCTGGATCCTTCCCCTGCTGCAAAGTCCTCAACGTTCTTCTCACCGCTTCAGTAAGTGTTGCAGGAGTCTTTTAGGACAGGAAAACAAGGTATAAAAAAACACAGAAAATCACTTGAGAACATTTACAAAAGTTTTTTTTTTCACATTTCATTACAATCACAAACAACACTTCATTCAGGTTTTAGTCAAACCCAAACACAAAGCAGTGCTTAATTGCGAAAAAAAAAAATAAAAAATCTAGAAAGTCTGCTTTGCATTTGTGTTCAACACTTCTTTACTCCGTCACTACATGAAATCCAGTGCAGACATTTGTTTAAGGGGTTATTAATGTTATGCGTTGTGGAAAACCAGCAGTCTATATCAAACGAGCATCATAATGCTGCCACCAATCTTCCCACGGTTGATGGGAAGATTGAAAGACCCAGACATTCTATTTGTAAATGTTTTTAAAAATCATATAATTTTCCTCCAGCTTTCAAACTATGTATGAACTTCTTTGCATTGATCCATGGCATAAAATCCTAATAAAAAAAACACTAAAATCAATTACTGCAACATGTAAAAACATAAACAATTTCAAGGAGAATGAATAATTCCTTTGGGCTCTTTAGAAATACAGAAAACTTTTCAGTTTCTGTAGAAATTTAAAAGTTCTGAAATGAATAAAAAAAAAAGATTTTATGACCAACAGCTTAAACAGAACAGAAATCCCTGAAAGCAAATTACCTTAAAGAGTTCAGCATAATGGTCCATGAGAAACAGCACCAGCGTTTCGCTCTGGTGTCGAGTGAGTTCATGATTCTGAACAAGCCCTCTCTGAAAAGTGCGGCAGACCAAAGTCCGATTATCAACCTGAAAGAAAAGCGCCCCAAAATGAGTCAAAAAGAGCTCAGTCAGTCACCATAAAAACTTACTTTAGAAACAACTCTCCTACATATCTACAGCTACAGAGGAAAAGCAGCTGTGAGGAAAGGAATCCATGTTTGTTACCTGCTTCTGCAGCCGGCAGGCGTCTGACTGAGCTGCGGTAGCCATGAAGGTCAGCAGTCTCCTCAGTTCGTCCCTCACGCTCGTCTCCAGCAGCCGCAGACACAGCTGAGACGCTCTGATGGCGTCCCGCGTCTTCCCGTCGTCTGGAAACACACAAACGGCCTTAGAGAGAACAACCGAAGCTGCATCTGCACGTCTTGTTTCCTGATCTTACCCAGCAGATTCAGAATAGCAACATGGACGTCCAGGTAGCGTCCTGATATCAGCGCCGCTTTTTCCTGTCCGTTGTAGTACTTGGCAATCGTGTCGAAGAGCAGTCTCTTCTGACTGGCTGTCTGCTCTGCATTGTTCCCGTTATGGTGGCTGAGTTGTTCCCCTGTGACCATAATCAGCTGGTCTGGAAACAGTTCTAGGCAGTCTGCTGCTGCTGAGAGCCAGGAGTCCAGCCTGAAGGCGGGGGGAGAAAGTGGTTAAAAACTAAATAAATAAATACAACCAACACACTTTGAGACGGGTTTGATGAGGTCCTGACTGGAGCAGGCTGAGCGTGTCAGGGAGGTCTCTTTCCAGGCAGGTGTTAGAGATAACCAGGTCGTAACTGGCCAGCGGAGTCGTGCAGGATCGGAGCCGAACCCTTTGAGGAGAGGTGAGGATGGAGTCCAGCACCGGCAGCTCCACGATGTGCAGCAGCTGCAGCAGCGTCTGCTGCTTCCAAACCTCATCCACCACTAGAGGGAGGGAGGGGAAAGGGCAAGAAAATGGAAAATATTAAAACCATAATACTGCCAAATAAAAAACTGGTAGGTTTAGTTTATCATTACCAGCTTTAGACAGGAAGCAAGAAGCTGCCGATGCTGCGTTCAGAGCCGGAGAAAACGACGCCCGCAGGTTGATGGTCCTGAAGAGCCGTTCAACTTTCCTGTCTGACGGTTCGACGGCAAGAGGGTTCGATATGGTCCTCATCTCATGAAGCCTGCATGACAACAAGAGAGGAAAGATAACAAAATGTGATTTCAGGTATTTTAAACACAAACAAAACAAGTTTGAACATTTAACTGGGACATAAATCAATGAAGTTTTTAGTACCAAAGTGTTGAGTATAGAATAGCAGATAATATTCTGACCTTGAGGTCTTTTTCCTCTTTTTCTCGTGTTCATCCAGCAGCATGTTCTCTACATCACTGCCGCCCTCCTTCGTGGCAGGACCGCTTCTCGTCCTCTGCTCCAGAAACCGGTAAAGGCTGCCGCTGCTGTCCTCGAAGGTCGTCTCTTTGTCCGTGCAAAACAGCTTGGTCCCCACCGGCTCAAACACCTTGGCCTCCATCAGAGCCTGGCAGAGCCGAGCGGCCTTGAGGCGAGACACCTCGCTGGTGCAGAACACCACGTTCTGCATCAGGTAGCTGAGAACCGCGTCCACGGCGTCCGAGCCAGCGAAGCAGTCGGCGTGAACACGGAGGTGTCTCCTGCAGCGACGCACCTCCACCTGAGTCCGCAGGGCATGGATGATGTTTTGCCACAGCTGAGTGGCGCCGAAGGGCCTCGAGAAATCTGCTGGAAGAACAGGACACAAATCAGCCTGAATGTCAAGGTTGAATGTTCTGGTGGACTTAGTGTCACAGAATCATATTAAACATTTTCCTACAAAATGAAGAAACTGGTTCCCTTCACAAGTCACCCAACTAGTAAATACAGTCTAATTGTAATAATTGTAATAATTAAATAAACGGACAATAACAACCTGCTGTAAATACAGATCAACACATTTCTGCTACCATGTTCAAACTATGCGTTTATTTAAATGTATCTGCTAACTAAAATGTTACCATGAGGCGTATTTTCTCTGAAAGTTCTTGTTTGGCTGTTCAACCTTCGAAACCGAGGAGTCAAATCAACCGCCATGATGCGACCATTTTCTTCTTCTTTGGTAAGTGAGCACACTGCTGCCCCCAGCAGGCGAGAAGAAAAACTTATGCCCTTCGTGGAGGCACTGTGCGGAAGCCACATCCGTAAACAAAAACGTCCTACTTGGGTGTCTGGCAGGCAATTTTATCACATAAGAGTTACACCCAATTTTCCAAACATCTGCGACTCTAGTCTTCCTGGTCAAAAGTACCCTTATTAGAAAACTTTTTAAATATCTATACAGAAGAAATAAAATTGCAGTGTAAAAGGGTTTACTTTTGGCTGCATCCTGAATGAGTTTTTTTTATTCCTTATTTGTATAAAGTCAATACAGAGTAAAACATTTCATTTGTGGAAATTAAAAAAATAATTATTCTTAAATCAACATGATAAAATATATGATGCAAAGACAAGGACTTATGTAGGTTGTAATGGAGGCTCCCCCTCACTGAAACATCTCTCTCTGACCCAGATGTAACATTTGGTCATATATAGGCATATTTTCTGAGGTTTTTATGAATATAATTAGTGCCCTGTGCCACTTTTAGAAAAACACACTGAGAGTGATGAGCAATGAATATGAATCCTAATACAAGGACAAAATTGAAGGACTCAAACATCAGTGATGGAAGGATAAAAGAGGAATTCATCTGATAAAGTCCTCTATTTCTCTATTTCCTCTATTTCTGAGGCACCAATTTAAGTACATCTGAGGCACTCATGTCTCATGTTTACTACATAAAATGCAAATTAAAAAAAACTCTGTCTAAGCAAAGGCAAAAGTATTTGCCTATCAGGAAATGCAAATATTACAAAACACGACCAAGCAAATGATAAACCACTACTGACTAGTTATGTCAAAAGATAGCACTAATGACTTGTGTTGACCAAGTAGCTAAATTGCATAATATACATTTATTGCAAATTCTATAGTAAAGTAAAAATAGCTTGTCCTTTAAGACATCTTTTGCATTTTTATTGGAGAAAGTTTCATGAATACAAGATTGCAGTAGTCTGTCCTCTTGATGTTTTAATAGAAAATTGAATCAATTAATAAAAAACCAAAACAAAAAAAAGAAAAAGAAAATGTTTATCTGACCATTACTCTTGTGTCAGGCATTATGGTTTAGAAGTCATTAAACTGGGTTGTTTGATTTTATCAGGGATTATTCTTTACAATTCAGATGGCCATTTTTGCCCTAGGTCCCACTAAATAAACCTGGTTTACATGCAAATGTACATAATAATTTGAAAAAAGACAACTTAATTTTTGATAAACATCTACTTTGGGGAATGTGTTATTACTTTTAAAGAATCAACATTTATTTTTATTAGGTTTTTCAGATAAAGAAAAACATGCAATCTTTGCAGGATGGATTATGGGATGCTGATATTTTTGAGGGAATGAGCTAACACAGTTTTTAACTAGTGACGAAAGAAACAGAAAAAAATAAAATTCACAAACACAGTCATATCTTTAGCGTCAAATTTGTAGAGGTCCAAAAAAATCTCCACAGACTACATTATATGCTACAACGGCCTGCCATACAACCTTGGTTGTGAGGCAGACTGGGTCATACCATTTGATTAACATCGCTACCTTCAGAATATTAGCCTTCTTAAGCCGTCTTCTGTGTCTCCTAATTATTAATATATATTTTCACAACCAATTGAAGGCTAAATGTGTGACTTAAAATGAAAAAACAACAATTTTCGTACTGGCATGCTTGGCTCCAGGACAGCCGTTTTGTGTGTGAGATGGTTTGAACCGTTTGTCCTCAGAGCTTGGGACCTTTAAATACCAAGTAGACTAGAACTCGACGGTGCCGAGACACTGTCAGTTTTCTTTTCTAGAGACGTCTGCCAGGTAATTGTCCATCATTATGAAACGTGCTCGATAATTTGCGATTACATCTTATTAAATTGCTTTTCTTGACGACGTTGGCTTTTAACACCGAGTGTCGCCTTGTTTTAGAGCGGAAATAAAAGTACACATTTCGAGTTAAAGTCGAACCCGTCGACGCTATCAATATAATCAAACTTCAGCCGTTGTACTACCTAAAGCAAGCAAAGCTCGCATGCTTTCACTACGAGGCGTATAGTTTGATGTAAACAAGATTGTTGAGTTTGACAAGTCGCTTCGTGTTAATCTTGTCGACTTGAACGGAATGTCTTCAGTCTGTGCACAACATGAATATCATGAATTAAAATCGAATAGACTGTCACAAATGTACACAAGGTTCTTGTTTTTGTCAGGAGGATCACGTGTACTCATTTCTTACGCGTGTATGGATGTATTTTTTTTTTATCCATGTGGAAAACTATGCAACCAAAGGTTTTCCATGGCAGGACGAGTGGCAGGCAGCAGCAGCCAATTACAGACGTTTCTGTGTAGCTAGCCCAGCCTTCCGTTCCCAAGGCTTTGTTTACATTGTACTGCGGTAATATTTAGAGCTAAAGATTAATTTTTTCTTCTCATTTTTTTCAAATCGAGGGCTAAAACTGCCGGAATTATTTTTATTTTAAGCTAAATCAAAACAAGTAGGGAATAAAATGCAATGTTTAGTAAATAGCACGACATATTAATATTTAAAATATGCATTTTATAAATTATTTCAGTAATTCATGTATTTAATAGTCCGTTATTGCAGAAAATCATTAATATTCTGCTGTCAGCTTTAGCCATCAGTCAGAGGCGGGGCTTACACGATAAGGCATAAAGTGGTTGGTCTGCAGACCAGGCTGTGCACGTTAACCAATCAAATGTCGATTTCCATAATAATTATACTTTCGGCAATTAAATACTATGGTTATTTATTATATGAAGAATTTAATGATAAACAGTTATACATTTCTTTGTGTTTTTAATTAATTCTGGATATATTTAGATCAACAAATGGTTAATATTTGTTTAATGCACTAATTATAGTCAAAGTTATCACATACAAATCTGTATTTAGTCATTCTTTAAAATGTACTTTATATTTTTATGTTTTTCTATATATTTACCCCATTTTAAAATTTTTGTCTCTTTCTTTTCTTTTTGTTGTCTAAATGTGTCAGTTGTTATAAATTGTTATAACAATCTGTAGTTGGTGAGCATTTTCTGGTTTTAAATACACCACTTCATATAAAAAAATAATAATAATAATTCAGCCTTTTTATGGAGTTTGGTATTGTTATGATTTAATATCTTACATGGACTCAGACTGCTTACACAAAAAAACATCAGATGACACCTAATCCGTAATTCTCTCCACTCAATCCCATTAGATTATCTTTAAAAACATGTGCTGCTTTATTAGACCCAGCTGTCAATTTTAGCTGATGATCATTTTGCAGAAATTAGTCATGCGCCCAGACCCCCTCCCTCCTCTCATCCTCACCCCTTGAGCTATCTTTAAACTGCAAGAGCGGAGCATGTAGTCATTTTTGGCTGCAGATAACCGAGGCCAGGAAGAGAAGCAGCCTTGACTTTCCACTCCTGCATGTCTTTGCTAATATTAAAAGAATAATTCTTCCTCTTTCGAGTGATAGTATTTGCAAGTGCAGAACAGCTGGTGTATGGTCGGGTGTAACGCGATCGCTTCCGTCGGGTCGTTTTGTCAACTTTTTGTTGTCCTAAAAGTACTACCTCATTCATTGTCACAGTTTAATAAGGCGTTGTGTTGAAACACCGCAACTGATATCTATCTCTGTAACCATGGTAACTAGCCTGCCAGCTGTTTTGTAGCTGGTGTTTTTGTTGCAGCCGTAGCCTTGACAACGAAAAGTATCACCCCCCCACCCCCCTCCGACTGCGGCACACCTCTCACTTCCTTCCTCCCAGTTGAAAATGATCTGTTGATCTGTCCCATTGAGAAAAGGGTTTGTAGTTGTGCTGAGACAAAATGTGTTTTGTTTTCTCCTTTTGCAGCTGGAAGCCAGGATGCCTCTAAATAATGAGCGACCCACTTCCACTTCCAGAAGTGAGGACCAAGGAAGCGACGCGGAGTCGTCGCTGGCCAGCGACCTGGACTGCTCCCGGGACAGCTTCAACAGCGACGGCTCCAGCAAACACTGCACGCCCTCATGTGAGTTCGCTATCTGAGGTTTTGATACTTAATTGCAAATGCATGACTGTTTCCTCTGTTTCCCCCTCGATTAATTTCTTCTTCTTCTCTTTGTTTTGTCCACAAAGTTGAAAGTTTGTGTGGAAAATTCAATTTAGCGAGAGATGCGTTTGCTGACGTTGTTTTCTTTTTGCGATAGTAATTGTTTCAGCGACTGACCTTTTCCTGATTGTTGTCACGCAGCTTTAATAATCCTGTGCTTTCATCCCTGCAGCGAGTCCGCCCAGAACACTTCCTCGAGACGAAGTCATGGAGGCCGGGCGAGACCTTTTCAATCTCAAACTCGTACATGAGATTGTCGTTGGAGACGTTCGCGCGGAACTGAGTCAAGGATCACAGAACAGGTGCTTTGCCCACTGAATCCACCCGTTTCTGGCAAGAACTGATCAAAAGCATAGTTTTTCTTTAGTGTAGTACTGAAGAAGACATGAGCAGAAATAGATGGTCAGAGATTGTTTTGATAAAAATGTTCCTGTTGTGTAGGGAGGTGCACTTCACTACAGGGTATTCACTGCATTCTGTAAGATAAATTGTTTTTTCTTTACAGTTTATGGAACATAGTAAGAGAGAATCTCTACAAGGCCTTTTGGGACAAACTGGAGAGTGAGCTGAACGAAGACCCGCCTGAATATCAGCATGCCATTAAACTAGTAGAGGACATCAGAGAGGTTGGTACAAAACTGGACGTTAACGGTTAAGAAAACCCCCACAATATTTCATCAGCATAAAATAACACTTGAACTGAATGTTTTGTCTTCTCCGGACAGATCTTACTGCTGTTCCTCAATCCAGGTGCCAATCGGATGCGGACCCAGATCATGGAGGTGCTGGACATGGACCTCATTCGTCAGCAGGCTGAAAACGACGCCTTGGACATCCAGGGACTCGCATCATACATCATTTCCACCATGGGGAAGCTGTGTGCGCCAGTGAGGGACGAAGAGATTCGGAAGCTACGAGAAAGCACAGATAACACAGTTACACTACTGAAGTAAATAAAACCCTCTGGCTTTATGTGTTTTAATGAGGTAAATTGTGACCAATTAATTTCAGTTTGCTTCTCCTCGTGCTCATAAGGGAGATATTCCGCGTTCTGGACCTGATGAAAGTAGATAACGTCAACAGTACAATTGAAATCCTGAGGCCTCTTCTGCAGAGGAACGGAGTTGAATACCAGAGGCAACTTTTTCAGAGCATCCTGGACGATCTACCCAGTGAGTTTGAAAAAAAATAAAAAATAGGATTGATAATTTTGAACATTGTTAAACAAACACATCCGAAAGCTATAAGCAAAACACGGCTTGTCTGCCAGCTGCTTTAAACCGCACCACCGCCTGGATCCAGTCGGCGCTGGAGGAGCTGCTGCTGGCCAGCGTCCCTCCGGAAAAACCTGATGACGCCGGGAAAGGTCAGCCGCCACTTCCTGGTCCCATCCAAATCCTGAATGCTGCCTGCCTGCGCTTTCTCACATGGGACTTTTCCAAGACTCTGGTGCCTGAGGTAATCTATTCCCTAAAATATCTGATTATTCTATTTAGGTCTGCCTAATATTGTACAGAAATTATTACAAACAAATTAAAATTTGATCCAAAATGAAATGTTTGGGGATTTTTACGTTCCAAACTTTTTTTTTTTTTTTTTAGACTTGGGTGATGGACCAATACCGTCTAGAGGAGATCCAGCGGCAGCTCCGGCAGTGGGAGACGGTGAACGAAGTGCTGCTCATTGTGCACAGCAAAATCGGGGGGCCGATCCGGGGGGCCTCCTCACTCTCCGACCGCCTGAAAAGGATGATCAGTGTTCTGCTGGAGAGCATGCACAAACCGTCAGTCCATCCCCATTCATGTCGCCGCATTCAAGCACACTAATGATTGTTTTCTTTTACGAAGAGGATTAAATGTTTGCTCCGTTTGCAGGGACTCTAACCTGGAAGAAACACTAGAGGGCGTCAGTGCTCAGGTTTGCAGTGAGCTCAACAAGTCTCTGACAGAGAGAAGCTGCCCTGCACTGACCCCAGATCAGCAGGCGACCCTCACAGGACAGATCTGCAGCATCAGCCAGAAGGAGAACCCCATTCGCACTCTTGTTGGTATGGAAAGTGACAACAGGAAGTTGTTTTTGTGCCTTTTTTAGTCGAAAGAAAAAAAAGTGTTTTTTGACAAAAATGTATGAATTTATGGAATGGAAAATTAAGGTAAAACTTCTGTTTCTGGACTTTATTTTTCTTAATCTGTTCTCTATAGCAGGAGTTTTTTAAGAGATATTTTACTTATTTGGAACCATATGTCTTTTATTCTTTTAGAAAAAAGATGACTTGATATCTATTAGAAATTTGCCAACATACAGTTTCAATTTCTAGGTTTTAGCCTAAAACTTGCATTGCACAGATAGATTTTCTAATATGTTTATTTGTGGGAAAGCATGTTAGAAAAGCATTTGTGGAAAAGCATGTTAGAAAAAAACACATTTTCCAATCTTAAACCAAAAATAAATCTTAAAAAAGCAACAACATATTACTAGTAATTTTAGTGTTCTGTTGTGGAAATTCTGTGCAACTCCATGAAAGAACTAAAAGGAAAAATAAAAAGGTTAAAATCTGCACTTTCAAAAACATATCTTTCTTTTTTTAGACATTCGTTCTTCATAATTTTTATCCCAAGTGATTGCAGACCTAAAGGTCCGTTTGTTGTCCTTTCCTTTCTGCAGAGGATCGCGTGCAGCAGTACTTCAGGTTGCTCCTCTCTGACCCAAAGAACCAGACCAAACTTGAAGAAGTATCAGCCAGCCTGACTGCCATCAAGCCTGAGCTGGTAGCCATTGGAAAAACATTCATCTCTCTGATCAACTACAACAGGGCCGTCTATGGACCTTTCTATATGGACATCATCAGGAAGCTGCTGTTTGGCAGCAGCCCACCAACCCCAATCCCTCAACAGCAACAAGCACCAAACTGTCATGTCTCTCATGAATAACAGAGGTTTTTTTTGTTTTGTTTTTCTGCCAGGTATAGAGAAATATGGGAATGTGAGATGAGAAGACGTTAGACCAACTGTCTATGATTGAACAGGAACTAAAAGGAAATCTTAAATACGAGATCAAAAAATGGACAAATAGGTAAATGTGCTTGCTCCATTTGTGATATTTATCACCACATTCTTGCAGTAAAACATTTGTCCACCTCAACTCTGACCTGCCTTTCAGAACCCAAACTCAGTGTTACAGTACTCCGTTTTCTGAACGTTATTCTGACATCATAGTTCATTTCTTTCAAGTCTCCCTTCCTGTAAATAAGACAGTAAAGGCAACAACTTAGTATCTGTGACACATGAAAAGTTATAAAGCAATACAGAAGATGTGTATTTTAAGAGACGTAGCGGAGAAGTTTTACAGATTCCTTCCATATACATGATGTTTATTGCTCTATAAATACAAAAAAAGCATATTTGAGTGAGTTCTGGTAAAATTGTACTGTACAGAGTAAGTGCCACATTCAGTGCTCAGATTTATTTGTCAGAACTTGGATTTCTTTGTTACTTTGGAACCAAATATGAGTTTGTGTTAGCAGCTTGGTGTTGGAGTTCTTTATCATTGGCCACAGGTTGTGTTTTCACCAGTGGAGTGATTGAATATAGTTTTGTTCTTTGTTTTGTTTTTTTGTCTGTACACTTAAAAATGCAAACTTCTGTGTGTTTTTCAGTATTTGTTAAATCTGTTTGTTTGAACAAGTCGAGAAAAGGAAAGGTGCTGAACTTGCAGGAGATTTTGATGTTGAAACATTTCCAGCAAACCTTAACATGCACAAAGAAGAGCAGTTTACAGGAACATGTGGGAAATTGATTTTCTCTGTTACCACAATTAATATAATAAAACTTGAATTGTTGAATCTATGAAACCAAGTGAAACAATTAATTTAAAGTATTGCAAAAAATAAAATGTAAAGTGCAAAACAGCTTTTATGCATCCAACAAATGTATTCTTTTTGTTTAAATGAAACAAAAAAAAACTGACACAGTGACTAAGATGATATTTGGAGGAGCTCGGATAAGATGTTAAATCTAAAAACACTGTACCAAATATCAAACATGACAGTGGCAGCATCATTCTATGGGTCTGTTTTTCTGCCACTTTCATCCACTTTCATAAAGTGGATCATAATAATCTTAATGTTTTTAATTTGTTTAAATCACAGTTTAAAATGTTTACCTCCAATCAACATTTTTTATAACATGTATTGTGTGCTTTAAGAGGACAATGATCTCACACACACTTCTAAAGCGATTTTGATATTAATAAATTACATAAGCAATAAGCTCTTGGAGAGCCATTAAGTCTGATACTGAAAATATGCCGTTGTTTAATAGGCCAGTGACGTTTAAATTGGGATAAACCTCTGTTGTCATCTCTAAACGTTACCAGGCAATACCAGCTACCTTCAGGTGTAGTATGTTTCGCACAGCTGTCAAGGCATCTTACAGAACTGACTTGTTTCCTGTTATTTTTATGACACTGAATTTGAATAAAGTGGTAACGTAAATGTCAAATAAACAGCACAAAATTATAAACACACTACTTCCAAGACCAAAATCGAAATGTATATATTTTACGTATTTGTTATAGAAGTCAAATGTAACTGTGTACCACACAATAAAACAATAATGCTGGACCTGTACTTTATTCTATTAAAATGATATTTAGGTATATCTGCGTGTTACAAACTTGAAACACGTTTAAGAAAATGAGCTAAAGGATTATTTACGACAGTTATGAAATTACTTGAACGCAGCATCAGTTTGCCCAGTTACAGATTCGTTAGTTCATTGCTCACGTGGTATAAATATCTCCCTGTGATTGGTTATCTCTAACCGGAGTAGTTGTTATTGTTGTCTGTTCCCGGAAGCTTGAAACTCATATTGGGCGTTGTGTTATGTCGAAAGAGAAATAAAGATAGATTTTGTGGTTTGAAGGTATCTTAAAAACGCTACATAACTTTCAGGACTATCTTTCAACAGATAGCTTAATATTTATTCACAGAAGATAGTTGTGAGTACTTGTTTTCTGCTACTTTCTTTGTTTCTGTTTACCTCGTAATGTGTGAACGTGTCCAGACATACCTTTAAATGGTCAAAGTGTATCAGATATGCTGTAGCGACATTGGCGTCATACTTAAATTGTGGGTTTTGTTTATTATTCAGTCTGATAGTTCAGTTTCTCGTTAACCATTCGAATTTAAGGAATTTTAAGAATAAGTTTTAAATGCTACAAGTTAGTCTTCCTAAAAAAGCCGGATATATATTTTTATATTTCAGGAACATCTGATGGTAACTTACTCTACCTTCACCTTCCTCTTTGTCTTCCGGTGTGTTTGTCTCATCCTGTATGAGTTGAAACTTTGTCCACATCATTTTATGTCCGTCTCACTGTTATGCTATTTTTACTATTGATTAATCTGACAGTAATTTCTATTTTAATTAACTTCTATGTTAATTATTTACTGACAATTTTCACAATTGAAACCTGGTAGCTCACAGTTTCTTATTTGTACATTTGAAAACAAATTAGAAATTAGTTTATTTCATTAATTCAGTTCAAAAATAGAAGCCAGTGTATTATAGAATTCAGTACACACAGTATACATTTCAAGCATATTCATGCAAAAGTAAAATTTAGATTCCCAGAATTAAAACATTTTGTAATAATAATTAAAGCAAAAACAAAAAATATTTTTAATGCATCAATCATATCCATGCACTTTACATTATTTGCACTCAATATCTGGTTGCTGGAACTTATGTAATAATTATTGCATCAGTTGAGTGTTGTAATGCATGTGATCTGTACACTCCTACTTCTGCTTATATCAGTGACCTTTCTGGTCTTCCTTCTCTGAGTTGGGTGTCAACTGCTGGCAAATCAGCAGACTTTTGCATTATTGTGTAGGCCATAAAATTAAAAACAAAAACAATGTTGTTATTCTTATTAATCTTGTGCACAATTTCACCAATTGTTTCCTGGATAGTACAATTTTTCCCCAAAGTTTATTTATGTTTTAAAGTGCATTTAAAGCATAAATAAGCTAAACTAAATAAAAGTAAAGGCAGTAGAATAATTGACATAGTTAGTGGTGCACCACTTGCTTACAAATATAGTGCCTAAAGGTATGTCTTATTGCATTTACATAAGAGAAGAAGTTGGCTGCAGTTTTTTTTTTTTTTTTTTTTTTTTTTTGATTGAGGAAGTTGTTTGTAATTCCAAAATAGAACTGAACTATTTATATGCTTTTATTATGCAACTCGTAGGACAAATTATATACAGCAGTATTCGTTGCATGTGGTTGTTTAAATCATTCCTTAAACCTTTTCAGCTTAAAAAGGTCCAAAAAAGTTTGTGTTTGTAAACAAAAAAGGTGAACATTTTTTGTATCATCATACAAAATAATTTACAAAAATCCGATCTTTATTCTTGACAGCTGTGTTTGGTGATAACTGTTTCTTACAAAATCATAAGTGGAGAAAATAACAAATATTTCCAGTAATTCCAAAAGATACATTTGAATGAATTATTCTTTAATTAAATCTGTACATCTTTAAGTTAACCAAAGGTCTGGTAAACTTTTGATTTGAGACAAACTATAATTATGTGGGAAAGACTCTCCTCGGTGTAATTAAGTAAAGTGCAGAATCTATGTTTATGTTGGCCTGTTTTCTCATCCCTGTTTTTGAGTATTCTACTTCAATAAATATGAATTTATTTTTTGGGGGGGGGGTTTTTAGCATCTGAATGGTCTGTGACCTCAGCACTGATGGCGCTGCAGGAGCGGACCCGGAGAAGTCTGCTGCGTTTGCGCCACCAGCTGGAGCAGGACATCAGGCCGCAGGACCTCATGGACCACATGATCAGCGATGGCGTGATCACAGTGGATGAGGAGGAGAAGGTCCGGATTAAGGTGAGCCAAGTCAAACGACGTCGAAAGGCAGCCAAACTACTTGTGCTCCAACCCTCCATTTGTTTCTTTTTCTGTTTGTGATTTCTCTCTGCAGCCCACCAGAAAAGACCAAGCTGCAGCACTGATCGACCTGCTGCTGAGGAAAGATGATTGTTCCGTCATTTCTTTCTATAACGCACTGATGAAAGAAACGTACCACGATCTGGCCAAATCGCTGTATCAAGACTTACCAGGTGTCTCCTTCAATGGACGAAAAGGCTCCTTTGACAGCTCCGAAACTTACGGTGAGAAGTGAGAAATTGGGGAGTGGCAGAGTTGCACCCTAACGTTTTCTGCATTCTGAAACCGGATGCTTTACATCAATTCTTTTCTGTTTTCCTCAACAGTCCAGATTATGCTGAGTGAAGGTGGCGTCCCACAGAGGCCTGTGGTGTTTGTCAGCAGACCAGAGCTGCTGAATCAGGTCAGGATGAAACTTGATTTGCTCCAGAAAGATGCCGGCGGCTGGGTTACGGTGTTCGGCATGGCCGGGTCAGGCAAGTCTGTGCTCGCCGCCGAGGCTGTCAGAGACCAGAGACTCATCGAAGGTGGATAACTAAACATGAACTCTAGGTTTTCCTAAATAGGGGTTGTTGTTCCTTTTTCTCACCTCTTCCCGTCTCCTGCCCGCAGAGTGTTTCCCCAATGGGGTTCATTGGCTGTCCATCGGTCAGCTGGACAAATCAGACCTGCTGGTGAAGATCCAGTCGTTGTGTTTTCGACTGGAGCAGAACCTGGACTCCCAGTCGCAGCACCGGCCGCCCACCTCTCTGGATGAAGCAAAGGAGCGCCTGCGCTTCCTGATGTTGCGCAGGTATCCCAGGTAAGCCGGACGTTCCTCTGGATGTGTGGAAAAGAATATCTGATTTTTTTTTTCTCTCTCAAAAATCAGAAAACGTGTGGCTTGCATTAAAATTCCCCCTCTTTACTCTGATACCTCAAAATAAAATCCAGTGCAGCCAATTGTTTTAAGAAGCTTATTTATGCTGTTTTGTTATTATGTCTCCTTTTCCTTCAAACTGCAGAAGTATGCACTACTTTGTATTGGTTGTGTTGAAATTACAATAAAATACATTGAATGTGAATAAATTTTATGAATTCTTTGTAAGGTTCTGTAGTTCTGGAATGAAAAGAAAAGTAAATTATAGTTTTGTTCATGTTCACATCCTTAACTATCTTTTTTGTTTCTGTTTTTAGATCTCTACTAATCCTCGATGACATCTGGGATAGCTCTGTGCTCAAAGTGTTTGATATTCACTGTCGAATTCTTCTGACCACCAGAAACAGAAGCCTCACTGATTCTGTTAGCGGTATGTCGTCTGCTTGAATGCACATCATTTTCAGAAAAAAACAAAACAAAACAAACAAAAAAAAAAACACGAAGAGGAGCTCTACCCACATTATGTGATTAATGTGCTCTTTGTCCTTTCATGTTTTAGGTGCCAAGTATGAGGTGGAGGTAGAAAGTGTTCTGGACGACAGGAAGGCGCTGGAGATCCTGGCCCTGTACACTAAAATGAATCAAAATGCTCTTCCTGTGGAGGCTCGCGACATCGTCAAAGAATGTAAAGGTCTGTAAACTGAAAGCAAAAGCAAAAAGTGTCATGATCCGTGTTTCTGTGTTTAGTTTTGAGTTTTTCTGTGTGGATTCTGTTTCCCTGTGAGTCTTTGTCCTGTCCTCCCCGTTGATTGTCTCCCAGGTGTGTCTCATTCCCTTGATTACCCCGTGTGTATTTGGTCTCACCTGTTGGTGTTCTTCGTCGGGTCCCTGTCTAAGTTTGTCTATCGCTGTCTTACGTGGTTTTCTTGCCAGTGGAACTGTATAGTCCTGGTAGTGTCGGCTCTCGTTTTCAGTCCTGTAATTCAGTAGCTACCGGTATTTAACTGTGTGCTAGTTCTCTGCCGTGCCGCAGACTGTGTGAGCATTTTCTCCATTAAACTCATCATCATCACCATAACCTGGGTCTCAGCGTCTCTCCTCGCCACCAACCACACCATTTTATGACAAAAAGACATTAAAAACTGGCCTCTGACATCCCAGTAAATTCGAATTGTTTTCACTCTTAAACTTTGGCTTTAATCCACACGTCGTCTGCCTCTCAGGCTCTCCTCTGGTCGTGTCTCTGATCGGCGCTCTGCTCAAAGACAAACCCAACCGGTGGGATTACTACCTCCGCCAGCTGCGGCAGAAGCAGTTCAAGCGCATAAGGAAGTCTTCGTCCTACGACTACGACGCCTTGGATCAGGCCATGGCTGCAAGCATCGAGGTTCTACCAGACGAACATCGGGAGCGCTACAAAGACCTGACTGTGTTCCAAAAGGACGTCAAGATCCCCGCTAAGGTTTTTCTACGCAATATATTGCTGTTACACTTTTAAATTCATCATGAAAACAAAGAACATCAAATACTACATTAATTATGATGCTAAACACTCAAAATTGATGGGTAATTTTCTCGTGACTGAATTTTATGACTTTGACAAAAATTCATGAGACTAAGTCTCATTTTCTTCATCTTCCAGTACTGTCCTTTACTTGCTTGATCTAGATCAAAAATAATAAAAAAACCGTACATGAATCCTCTCTTTTCTTGTAGATTCTGTGTGTTTTGTGGGATCTGGAGCCAGAGGAGGTGGAGGACATTCTCCAAGAGTTTGTCAACAAATCCCTGCTTTTTGTAGACAACAACAGTAGACTGAACCTGTACTACCTTCACGACCTCCAGCTGGACTTCCTGGAGGAGCAGAACCGAGATCAGATACAGGTTTGGCCCCTTTCTTTTGTATCTTAACATGCCAACTCTGAATAACTAGCAAAAAACAATCTAAAACAGTTACAACTGGAAAACAATTTCAGGTTTATTGATAATCAGTGACATCCTGCCGCATTTCAGAGTCTTCACAGGAAGGTGGTGGACCAGTACCACCATCACTACAGAGAGGCTGCTCCCACCTTTGGAGACGAGGGTCGTCTTTATTGGATCAGATTTCTCACCTACCACTTGGCCAAAGCCAAGATGTTCCAGGTGAAACTCGGCTCCGTTCCAGCATGTCCATTCAGTTAGACGAGCTCACCTTTGTCTTCATCATGCTTTCTTCTGGGTAGGAGCTGTATTCGCTCATGTTCTCGCTGGACTGGGTCAAGATGAAGGCGAAGGTAATGGGTCCAGCGCCCCTCATCAACGACTACATGGAGTACGGACCCATTCTGGACAAAGAGGTCAGTGGAACGCGGCGAACTTAGCTGCCGTCTCTGAGGCGGTTGGGAGTTTTCCTGCATGTTTTGCTCTGTTCCCCCCCCCAGAACAGTGAAGTTTGCAGCCAGTTCCAGGAGTTTCTGTCGCTGAACGGCCACCACCTGGAGGAGCGTCCGTTCCCCGACGTCGTGCAGCTCGCTCTGTCTCAGCCGCACTCCTCCGCCGTCTACAGACAGGCTCGGGAAAAGGCGCTGAACCCGGACAACGCTGGGAAGCTCTACTTTGAGTTAATGTATGAAAACAGTTTTATTTTTAATGCAAAGTCCTAATTTTGGCTTAGTCTAGCTGTAGTGGCAACAATTATTCTGTAGCTCTTCAATTATCGTGTACATAACGACTTTAGGAGATTGTTCATTTTTGAAAAATACTTATCGTAGACTTGCATCCTGTGTTTTTGTGAATGTCTTTACAGAAATAAGAGCAGCGTAGAAAATCTGTCCCGTTTGGTGATCCACCCTCACCTGGGCTCCATCTACTCCGCCTGCTTCTCCCACGATGGAACCAGAATCGCTTCCTGTGGAGCCAGCAAAACCCTGAAGGTATGTGGAGCAATATTACAACCAGAAAGGCAAAGAAAACCTACTGCTTATAAATATTGTCATATTATATTACTTAACTTTTTATTTATATATGTGTTTTTCTTTGTATTTATTTGTCATTTTCTCTTTGCTTCTTTCTGTTTTTCAACTGTATTTGTATTAAGTTATTTCTGTCATTTTAGATTAGTTATCTTTAATTCTTTATTTCATAATTTCCTTTTAATATATGTTATATATTTTCCCCTTTGTCTCAATTTATATTATGCAATGTTTTTAACTCAAAATGTAGATATTTTAAATTTATTACAAGTCTTCAGTGTTCATCTATTTGTATACATACTTTTACGTTTTGTACATTGAATCACTTTTTTAATTGTGAGCACTGATTTTAACATTAGATGTGTTTTTGATGTATTTTTTTGTTTTAATCATTAAACTCCTATATTTCTTCTCTCAGGTATTTAAAAGTACCTCAGGTGAGAAGCTGATGGAGATCCAGGCTCATGATGAAGAGGTTCTCTGCTGCGCCTTCTCCCCTGACGACCATCTTCTAGCAACCTGCTCAAGCGACCGGAAAGTCAAGGTGAGCATTAGCTGCTAACCGCAGCAGCTAATGAATAAAAGGGCAACTAAATGTGTAACTTATAGATGGAAAATGCTCCGTTTTTCTATTTAGACGTGAGATTTTATCCTGCAGGTGTGGAACATCCAGCAAGGCAAACTGCTGAGGATCTTTGAAGAGGAGCATGAAGAGCAGGTGAACCACTGCGAGTTCACCAACATGTCACAGCGCCTCCTGCTGGCCACATGCTCCAACGACAACTTCTTAAATGTCAAGGTGAGGAATAGCTCTGGTTTCCTCTACATTCCTTTTCATTTTTTTATATATATTTTTTTGTCAGTATTTGTCACATTGTGTATTATTTCTGCTTCTTTAGATTTGGAATCTGAACAAGCCGTCGTCCCAGAACACCATGTTTGGTCACTTTGAGCCGGTGAACCACTGCTGTTTCTCCCCTGATGATGCTTATTTATCCACTTCCTCCAACGACGGCACCATTAAGGTGACTTTCAATCAGATTTAGATAAATACATTCATGAGTTGAGTTTTATTTAAAACCTAAAAGTTTGTAGGTGTGTTAAGAACAAACACTAACCCTGCAGAAATTTAAAATCCAGTAAAACAAAATCTGTGCCAAATAGAAATATCTTTAAATGAACACATTTTAAAGCTGGACTGATTTATGGTTGCTCATGTTGTGATCATTTTACCTTAACCACCGTTCAGAGATGACATGCTTGATATTATAGCTTTGTGTTCTCACAGTTGTTCCAGGTGCCTGCAGCCAACGAGTGGAAGACGATTGATGTGAAGAGTTTCTTGTCAGAAAGCGATGATGAGGACGTTCTTGTGAAGTGCAGCACCTGGACCGCAGACGGCAAACGTATCATATGCGCCGCCAGAAATGCTGCCTTGGTGAGCGTTGATGCAGGAAAATGAGAAATTTTGAATGCGAGTCGGGATGGATGACCACATGCTGATTATTATTCGACGAAAGCCGTCAAATGTGTCGGTTAACTAGTGAAAAGCCACTTTCTGTTGCGTCTTTTCTGCTCTTCCTTTGCGCATGCATTAATTTTAAGTAGGAATTAGCCTAAAGTTTTCCTGTTTTTGATCTCTTTTACATCCTTTTTAAATATAACAAGCTCTAAGGACACTCAAGATGCTGATACGTTTTGAAATTCCCATTTCTTAGGTGTTTGACGTCCAGACGTCGGACATGTTGCTGGAAATCAAGACGAATCGTCTGAGCACAGTCCAGTACTGTCACGCCTGTCCTGCCAGTAACCTGTTGGCACTAGCATTCTCAAATTATGCCATTGAGGTACTACCCTAGTTATGCTAGTACTTAGTTTCCTGTAATTTCTTCTGAAATGAGGGGGATATTTTTCAGTGTCCTCCACAATTGGTGGCACCGCTAAAGATGTGTAAAAAGACCTTAAAGTAAATTAATTAAAGCATGATTTCATACTGAAAGATGAGTGCATTTGTTGCTAAACAATCCCAATTTACACCTTTTTACGCATTTTTCCCACAAGTGCCAGTGTGGAGAGCGCTGTAAATCTCTTGCATTTCAAATAAAGTTTAAATCGTTTAATTTCAAAGCTGTTATTTGTTTCTGTGTGGTTTCTTTTCAGCTGTGGGATCTTGAGGAAAAGAAGAAGCGGGCGGACTGCAGCGGCCACCTGAGCTGGGTCCAGCGGGTCCAGTTCTCTAGAGACGGCTCTCAGCTGCTGTCCTGCTCCGACGACCAGACAATCAGGGTGAGAGTTTTCATCCATGTGATGAGATGTTATGCTGTTACAGAAGTCGGACGATCCTCCAGTTGCTGCTATCTCGACAGTTTGACCAACTGGGTTTATTTTAGATTCTAGTAACAGAAAAACAGAAGAAAACGTTTTGAATATTGATGTGAACAGCATGTGGTGACATTTATTCAAGTCTGTCACCTGTAATCTGGGAAATGTGCAACTTCCAAACCGCATGGTTTGACAAAAGATTGAGGTTGTGCAACAGGTCAGAACCACCTGAGAGTGGATTTGAGCCTCTTGTGGTCAGGATGACCCTGAGTAAGAGCTGCAGCTGTGAACCCACCAGTGGAGGAGAAAGAAAACAAACCTCACAAGTCACAGCTCTCTGGCTTCAAACAGCCCACGCTGCTCTGTGGTGTTGGACTTTTCTTCTAAGGAAAGCAAAACATGTTAAAGTCTGTGTGTCTCTGCCAGACTCCGAATGGGGATGACGAATATAAGTTTGCATTTCCTTCCTTGACTGCCTGACCTTTGGCAGTTATTGCATAATAACTGATTTTATGATACAATAATAAAGTCAGTTATAGGAACCCAAAGCGTTTTAAAGTACTGAGCTACTGGATAGTAGCTACAGCTCTCGTGTCCAGAGGTGAGGCCGACATGCACTACTGCCACCGTTGTCAGTGAAAGGTGGGTGAAGAATCCGACCCAAGGACATGAAGACGGATGGAGGCGTTGCCACAATTTCCCTTTCTAGCCCTGCAAAGTTTATCACCTGTTGGATCAATTCAGCTTTATTTAAATATAGTGAACAAATATTGTTGCAGAGTGGGGGTTCACAAGTCTTGCTTCTCATGTGTTGCAGTTATGGGAGACCGAGAAGGTCCACACGTCCTCGGCCGTCTGCCTGAAGAGAGATTCGGACGTTCTCTTTAATGGTGAGGAAATCATCGTGTCGGCTGCAGACAACTGCAACAGACTCCAGGTGGGTTGTTAGGAAAGCTGGTTTCCCAGTGAAAGTGAAGCCGAACTGTACGATGGCACAGTTTTATCCCTTGTTTTGCGTTTTTATCCCAGGTGCGGGGCGGCAGAACAGGATCGGTGCTGTTCCAGTCAGAGGAGCTGCCCTGCAGAATCCGGTCCACATGCATGTGCAAGAATCCGTCTGCAGTGGCTCTGGGACAAGAGAACGGAAATGTGCAGGTAAAAAACTGGAATTTCATCCCATTATCTCTGCACTTCATCTAAAAGCAGAAAATGAAAATAGTAAAACGGATAATTTATGTTTGACATTATTTGAACTGATTGAATCTATGCAGACCAATATGCCCTTACATGAAGGGAAAAGCAAAACTTGACTCACCAATTGAAGGAAGATCAACAACAGTCAGTGACATCAGTCTGGAAAGAGTTACTAAGTAGCTTTTGTGAATCAGAGAGAGCTACTGTCCCTAAATGGATGTAAAAAAAAAAAAAAATGAAGTGGGGAACCTTCCTGGGAGTGTCGGTTTACCACAATTACTCCAAGAAAACATCAACGGCTCATCACAAAATACCCCAGAACAACATCTACAGCAGGCCTCACTTGGCTCAGATAGGGTGAGAGTTTATAAGTTTCTAATTTGGGAAGGTTTGGAGTTAAAAATTGCTCAACACAAAAGGAACACACAGGCATTTTGTCAAAAAACATCTTGATCCCAGACACACAAAACAAAATTTTTAATGGAAGAAAAAAAAAAACTGCACTCAGGAAAAGAAAAACAGGGAAACGCTTTATTTGAAGGGGTGTGCATAAGACTGGCATGACGCTGTCATAAACATGACACGATGGAAGATGTTTCTGTTGAGTTTAGAAGGAACTTGGTTTTTCACAGCACTGTCTGACTTCTGATCCTGCTCTGTTATACCCTTTTCTTTTTTGCTTCCTGCAGATCTTCGTCGTCTTGTTGCCCCACGTTTAGTAAAGAATAATGTAGGCAGAGATTGATATGCCGGGTTTCTTTGCGTCACCTTTTTTTATTTGTTTTTCCCCATTCGGACTTCCCCTCAGAGTTCTCCCTCCCTCTGCAAATAAAAGCGGAGTCTCCTGGGACTGCAGCGTAGCGTCCCACAGCAGAGAGCGGCGCTAATTATTTAAGACGTCCTGGAGAAGTTAAGCATTTTAATTACTCTTCCTCTCTGGACCTTCCTGAGCCTTTTCTCCAGTCTCCTGACCCAGGAGATAATTAATGGAGCAATTAATAAAACAGCAGCACAGATGGGTTGATCTCTTGAACTTGGAGGGGTGAGAACCATTTTTCAGCCAGAAAAATAAAACGAGAGGTGAATTTTATTTAAAGTTCCATTAAGGAATTAGGACCTGCAAAAATAGATACACGGCAAATTTTGGAATCAAGAACATGCATCAAAAGATGTGCAAAAAAAAAGACTTGAAACAATATCCCTTATTGGCAACCTCAACATTTTCCATAAAATGAAACTGAAACTGAATCACTTTTCTATGTCATACTTTACTCTTTTCTGCTAGTCTAACATGGAAAATCACTCAAACCTGCCTACATCTACCAGGAGAGATACCCAGCATATTTCTGCTTCTCCTCCTCTGCTGACACCAGGTGGCGCCCTGCGATAAAGCCCCACAGCCACAAATCACTGCAATGCATTTCTCCCCAGTGCACCCAAAGGAAAATTAGCAATATCTTCTCGTGACATTGTCAGATGTCCACTAAAGCACAAAAGTGACCGCCTTTTAGTGAAAAATGTGGGGCAGAGAACAGTCTGCCTGTGCGCCTCCGGCACGCAGGAATACACCATGTGTTTGTGTTGTGTGGCGGGTGTCAGGGCTGACAGCTAGTCGGCTGCTGAGGACGATTGGCTGCAGGATCCGTCAACTGCTGACCTCCTGCAGGGAGGTGCTGCTGGCTGTAGCTCAGTGCACAGGCAGGGTGCAGGTATTGTACAGCGGAGATGGACTAGAAGTGACTGTTTGCTTCTTTGGAATACTAATAATAGCAAAGGGGTTGTTCTCACCGTTGGGTCGTTCTTTGATCATCCAAAGTTGCACATTTTGGAGAGTAAATAAAATTCTGGCGAGTGTTGCAAGGCACGTTTTGTTTTTGCTAAATAAAATCCAGTTCAATCAGTTGGCTTCATAAGTCAGCTAATTAGTGATGGCTCTTTCAGGAAGACTATTGCCTTTGACATAAAGTCACAGCTACAATGCAACAGTTTGGATCAGATTATATTAATGTGTTAAAATTACCCAGTCAAAGTCCAACCCTAAACCACTTCATGTCCACAAACGCATTTCCTGGAGTCTACAAACTATGAGATAACATTGAGTTTCTAGATATTGGGGATAGATGTTGTCCTACAAAGTATCCACTAATGGAGCTGAATGCAAATGCAGGCCACACCTTTCAGATTTTCATTCCCAGGAGAACACACTAGAGTTTTCGCTTTCAATTTGACAAAATCGGAATGAATCCTTTTCCATTTAGTTTGTGAAACCCTTTCTTATTAGGTCGAGTTCCTTCTTCCACCTGAACAGAAAGCCTCAGCTAAGAACGTGGCAGGCATGGCCTCAGGCTCTGTCTGCTCAGACGTTTCAACACTCTCTCATCTGAGCTCTGGCTGTTCTAGAACACGCTAAAATCCCAGATGTTGCAACGCTGCTCAGCTTTTCTCACAGGTGTCGTGCTACACTTGATCTTTGTTATTTTGAGCGATTCATTACTAGTTATGAAACTGAGAAGTTATGATCACAGTTAGAAAGGGAAGGAGCTGTTTGAAAACGGGCCGTTGGAATGACATTCAGCAAACGTCCAGAGTCTGGAAGTGAACCATTCTGCCGCTGAAGAGGCTTTTTTGACCATATGATGCGCTTCAAGCTATTTAACCTTTGACTTACAGGCCGTCCTAAATGCTGTTTTTTTTTCCCTCAACCTCCGTTCAAGCTCTCGTGGCCGGCTAAGCAATGTGGATGGCATCAACTAACTCACTCGCTCTTTGGTTACCTAGCAACAGGTTGAAACTGCCTGAAAATGAAAACGTCGGCTTGAAGTGGAAGGAGAAAAGGAGTGCGAAAGTTTGGCATTATTTCAGATATTTTAAACATAAAAATCATCAATAATTGTCATCGACTGATATTAAAGCCTTATATTTTGGTGTGTTTCTTTGGCCGTGCCGTCCATCATGAAACCGCCTTCTCTCCTTCCTAAACACGCATCCAAACCGTGGCGTGTTGCGTGGTGACTTTGATTCTTTGAGCTGCTCATGTTTCCGTGTTTGCTCCGTGTAGGTGCTGGCTCTGCCTTCAGGGAAGCTTTTAGCCACTCTGCTGGGACACACCAAGACCGTGCTCCACTGCCAGTTCTGCCAGAACGGACAAACTCTCATCACCTCATCCGAGGACACCACCATCAGGGTAGGTTATGCTTCCCTCCTCCTCCTGTTTCTAGCGCTTATATTTTGTTTTTTCCAACTAATTGTCTCTTCCCTCTCCTGTCCCTCACTTGTATTTCCTCTCAGTTTTATGGGACATTCATTCTCCTAACCTGCTTCCCATTTTTCTTCCGGGATATTGATTAATTTTTCCGCCTCCATGCCGATCCCTCACCTTGACTAAAGTACCTGCAGCACTGAATCATTCATCAGCAGTGTTGGGCTCTCTGGTGTTTTTAACCTGTTAGTCTCCGTTGGCCTCTTCACCTCTCCATTCTTCATCCCTCCTCCTCTGTGCCTCTCAGCTCCTTATCTCCTCTTGTTCCTCTGTTGACCACATGCAACTGCCTCTGTTTGTATATGAACGCTGTATATATGTGTGCGTGTGTATATGAGGCTGTTCCGCTCTGTTGACCTCACCATTCATGCTCCGTTGTTTGTTTTCCCTTTCGCCGTTCCCGTCTCATTCCCGCCGTCTCTTTCTTTTCCTCGCCATCCTCCAGTTTTGCCCTCGGACGCCGTCCACTGCAGCGCTCCGTTTAAAACACGGCGCTCTCATTTTGTATTCATCCGGCTGCCGCCTGCAGCATCGCTATTCTCAGCCCGTCCGCCGGTTATTCAGAAAATATTCAGATTCTTGCCGCCTGACATGTGCTCGTGAGGAAATGGAAGCGTGTATTTAAATGGAAATGCAAACGCAAAGTGAATGTAAATGAAAGGGATGTTGTTTGGTGATGGATTTTAACCTTCAGACCAATAAAGGAGGGGAAACGGCAACACCGTGCAGCGGGACGTGATTGATGGTTGCCTCTATCGGCTTCCCAGTTCAGCCTCCCAGTTTCTGCTGATTTATCTGCCGGCGTCCATAATAGAGCCGATGTGGATCTGCAGGCCCAGAGTTTTCTCTCCACACACGCATTTTGTATTTACTTTCGACTTTTGGGCCTAAGATACTAATCTAAGTCTAGAGTTGGAAAAGTGCTTCAGTCTCCTTCATAAATATTAATTATCTGCACTCGATACGTGAGAAGTTTTGTTTGGAAGAGTCACAACAGTGAAAACGGTTCAGTATTAAAAAGAAATATAACAAATCAGAATTATCTCCATCGGTTTGACTGGTTTCTAAAGTCCAAAACGGCATGTTCATTGAGGGTGTCAATAAATATGTAAATATGATCAAATGTAGTTACTGTGTGCAGTTTAGTGATTCTAATTGCACTAATTATGTGATTGGTGTCCTAAAGAAGCACATTACAAATGGGAATGTTTGTCAAAAGCAGCATTTATGCTTTTGACAATAATACCACAATATATCTTGATAAGCTTCAAGTTCTTACCGCTCACTTTGAGCTAAAAAGAACTAAGTTGATACCAAAAAGCAACATCAAGTACTAGAAATAAAAGCAGGCACGATAATAACCTCTTTGTGTTTGTTCAGTTTTTTGATGGATATTGTGATAATCGAACACCCTTTTTTTTTAAATTTAGTAATCACTTAAAAGTGACTAAATCTGTCCTGATTTCAGACATTTAGATGTGATCTGAGGCAGGAGGAAGCTGCTGCTGACAGAACGCTCTCCTTCTTACTCTGTGTAGGTGTGGAAGTGGAAATCAGGCGAGTGTAAAGTACTTCAGGGTCACAGGGAGCAAGTTCGATGCTTCTCTCTGCTCTCCGACTCGGCAAATGACTCGAGACTGCTCTCCTGGTCCTTTGATGGAACTGTGAAGGTGAAAGTGACACACAGGAACGCACTTTGCCACTACATTTAACAGCAGCGTAACATCCGACCGTAAATAATCCGTCCTCCTTCTGCTCGCTACCAGGTGTGGGACACTGAGAGCGGAGAGAAACTGCAGGACATCAAGGCTCATCAGGGAGCCATTCTGTCCTGTCACGTCTCACCAGACGGATGTCTCTTTGCGACCACCTCCGCTGACAAGACCACTAAGGTTCAACACCAACAAACACACACACACACTCACACGAGATGGGACGTATCTATTTCTGCCCCGGGGTGACAGCGTGACCTATTACACATCCGCATCTTTTCTCAAGGGATGTTTGCATTAATGTGTTGCTTCAAGTGAAGTCCGAGGGTAAAAAAAAAAAAAAATTCTCATGCAAGGAGACGGGAAACTTTAGAAACTACAGCATCAGATGGCTGCAGGCCTGGTGAGTTAGCCGCAGGTTGGTCTGTCCTTCTGCGTCCGAATGAGACTCAAGTTCCTGCTAGCCAAGCAGCCCTGCAGGTTAGCCGGCCCACCACCCTCTCTGGATGCAGCGTTTGCCAGGTTGCCGTGCAGCAACACCACTCTGCCCGACTTTGGGCTGACTTTGACTTAAAATGCTGGGAGAGATCCACTTTTCTTCAAATTTTATTTCAGTTTTGTTTGTGTATAGAGTTAAATTAAAACCAACGTCATGTCACTTTACAAAGCAAACATCTCCAGTACATTTCAAATTATAGAAAGTTAAACTGCAACACGGGGCTGAAGCAATCAGATTTATTGTGAAGAATTGATTGTAGAAATAATCGTCATCTCATTTAGTAATTAGTTAATTAGAATATACAGGTTCAAAAAAGGCCATGTGCTGAAAAAACGCAGCCAGAGCAATAATGAAGCCAAAACTTTACAAAAAATAAATAAATTTTTGCATTTAAGATGAAGCAAAAATGTCTCCTGTAAATATATTCAACCCAGATCTGGCGTAGTTTTAATCTCACCTGATTATAATTCTGTAAATAAAAAAAACCCATCTAAGTACCTTTTAAAATCCAGTTATTAATCTATAAACAGATTATCCCTACATTGTATTTGCGTAATCCATACGCTATAGGAATGCTGTGTTATTACATTGTAGGGAATAAAATGTTCATTTTCTGATTTTAAAATAGGAATTGAGTTGTTTGCATTTTTAATGATTTTCTAATATTGCATGAAAACTCTTAAGTGGTTAAATGAAAAGTCAGCAAAATGTGCCAATTTCTTTATCCAATTAATCATCAGAAAAATCAGTTACTAAAATAACTGCTAGTTGCAGTAACACAACATGTTCTGCAAAAGTGGCTTATTCTCCTCATGAATCACTGTCCAGCAGTGGATTATAGCTGCTGCTTCAGGGTCTTCATCTGTTATGCAATCTTTGTTTTCAACCATTTTTATTATGGCACCAAAACCAAATCCAGCACGATCCTTCCACCTTTTGTTAAATAACCCAATCAGGAGCCGCTGCTACCAAGTTTCACGTGGGAATTTGGGTTTGGTTACCCGCCAGCCTGGATTCTCACAGCAGGCGTGTGTTTTTACGGATTTGGCAGTGATCGTAATTAAGGTGTGTGTGTGTGTGTTTACCGGGCTGGTCAGCAGCCAGCCAGAGTCCTTGCTCTCCAGCCCGAGTCGGGGCTTTTCTGGCTCACAGAAACAAACGACAACACAACCACCGATGTCCCTGGTTTCCATCTGTCCCGAGGTCGAACCAGAAAGTGTCGCCTTTTAAAGTCTTTCAGAAGCATCACAGTGCTCTGCTGTGCTCTTCTCTCATCCTTACCCCACTTTTTCCCAGTTTTTTTTTTCTTGCACTTATCCCTGCCAAATGAAGTGCATAATTAGAGGTTGAGTTATTTATTATGTAACACAATGTGATGGTGAAGGAGGTAGAAAAAGAACTGGTGACGGGAAAGAGATTAGAAACAAAGGAGCTGTAGCACCATAAAGCGAGTTGTGGAAGATTTATCAGGATGACGACTGCGACTGTATGAACAAACTCTGCTGTTTATGTTTATACAGTGCAGATGGGACACAGTTTACCTCCTGAATCCTCTTTCTTTTGTGTTTTGCCTTTTTGCAAAAGAAAAGAGTTTCAATTTCAGTTCAGGTTGTTGCTAGTATGTAGAACTTTAACTCATTTAAGTTCTACTAAATGCATGCTTTAGGTGTTAGTCAAATCTGAAAGAATTATTTTTTTCTGCATCATTTTGCTTTTCACCACATGTTTAGTTGTGGAGCTGCAAATCCTGGCAGTGTGTCTTCACCCTGAGAGGTCACCTAGACTGCGTCCGAAGCTGCCGTTTCTCCTGGAACGGCAAACGCCTCGCTACGGGAGACGACAACGGAGAGATCAGAGTGCGTACTCCTGAAATCCAGCCGTCCATTTGGCTTTAGCAGTTTGTATTGTGGTAAATTAAAGGGATTGCAGCTGGGGTTTTTTTTTTATCACACATTGCAGACTGAATGCAACGACAGCGCCTCAAACCATCTAATTTCCTGCTCAGGATACAAAAAGTAATTAGAGCCGTCAACATTTATTCCCAGAAATCAACCTCTAATTACATGTCATCACTCATTTAGAGTAAGTGCTTACTAATACATCATGATTACTGCAGTGCATGCATGTGAGGAGGGATTGAGATGAAAGACTGAGGCGTAAACTAGGAAGTTGAGAGAGAGCCTGAGGAGGAGGAGACGATTGCTGGTGGGAGGAGACGGAGAGAGCAAATTGGATCTCTAAGGCTCTGCGGACCTGAAGTTCATGTCCAAAAAAATAAAATAAATAAATAAAAATCACACACAGTTAAATTAAGTAGTCTAAAATAATGAGAGCTGCAGCAGAAAATGCTGCAGTGGCAGGTGGAGAGTTTAAAAGTTTCACTGTTTTAAAGTGACTCATTCAATCCAATTGCAAGAAATTCAATGAAATCTCCACTCATTTCTGTTGCCAAAATACAGAATATACATGATGTGTTTGTGTCAAAGATGTGCAGTGCAGTATGACTTCCTACCTTTGGCGGCATCCTGCTGAAGGGCGGCAACTGTTTTGCGCTGAAAAATTTTTCTGGTTTTTTTTTTTGTTTTTTTCTTCTTCTTCTTTCCCTGTCCAACTAGGGGGGAGTGTGTGTCCTACACAAACTATGGTGGCACATCACAACATGCTAATGACCCTGAAGTTTGAATCTGATTTGTAGCTTTTGGTTTTACCTGCAAGAGCTGCTTCATTTGCTCTTAATTAAATCTGGAGTGCATTTGGTTATATCCTCTTCAAAACCTGATCTTCTGAAATGGACCAAGATTCTTTAAAACACAGTTTGAGGTTTGTAGCTCAAAGCATAAAAAGACCATTTAAATGCTCTTTTGACATTGAGAATATAGACACCCAAAGGATTAGATTCTTTAGAAAACATTTTGCGATTTTATGCAATTCTTAAATTTACTGACATCTGATATTGTTGGAATTAGTTCATGAAATTAAGAATGGACTTATCCACGGCATCATGCATGCAGTTGCATTACACTGCAACAATTATACGTCTGAAAAGGATCAAGTGTGAGCACTGGTTTGGAAAAAAGTAAAACTGCAACCAATTTTCTTTAAAATGATCACAGGGTTTCCCCCAGTGTATTATAAGCCTGGCGGGCCACCAGGCTTTACTTGTGCTCCCACCAGGCTTGGCATGTTAATCTTTCAATAGCACATAAATATCAAGTGATATTTTCAAATTTCCTGATAACTTTAAAAAAAAATTTAACTCAAAAACACGACGGACGGCTGGATGAATGATCAAACCTTCGGGCTTAGCAAGTTTTCTGGGGGAAATATTGCATCAAAACTCATAAGTTGCAAATAAAAAAAAAATATTAAGATTCTTATATACTTCCTGCATCCCTGATGTTTTATTCTCTGCACTTTGGTCGGGTTTAGTTACTGCTGATGAATGTTCTGTTAATACAGTCGTGGAAAAGTGCCATCAGGATCAATTCTCCATTTGCCTGCAGCTTGGGATCAATGAGCTATTTAAATGCGACGCGTGCTCGCATAATTGTAAACAATTGGAAAATAATTCCTCTGGCGGAGTAAAAGTGGGGAAACAATGACTAGATATCTGTATATTTCTGATCCACGTGTTTAGAACTGGAAGAAATGGATTCTTCAGTATGTAATAAAGATGTTTTATGCTCCAAAAAACATGAGAAGTCAACAAGAATCTCAGGATCTGACTGAAATGTTTTTTGCACTTGCTAAGTGTTTAGTCATGTTTCCAATAATGGAGAGAACTGCTTGTCTTACTGGAGTGGATGATGGATTTTCATCAGGTGTATGTTTAAGATGGACTTTTTCCTTTTTTGCTACAGATCTGGAGTGTTAAAGACGGCTCTTTACTGAAGGTTTGTTCCCAGGAAAGTAAAGACGCCACTGATTCTGTACATGGAGGTTGGGTGACTGATCTGCACTTCTCCCCAAACAACGCTGTGCTCGTTTCTACCGGAGGCTACATAAAGGTACGCTAACGCAAACACAAACACGTGGGCTTTAGTTAAACACTATACCTCATTAAGCTGCACAATCATGGGGAAGACTGCTGACTGGACAGATGGCCAGAAAATGGTAATTGACACTTTTCACAAGGAGGGGAAGCCACAAAAGATGGCTGCCAAAGTGCTAAATTCAACTCTGTTCATAGAAGGTTGAGCGAAAAGAAAAAGTGCGGGAGCAAATTGTGTGCCAGCAACGGGGATAAATTCAGCCTTGAGAAGAGTTTAAAGCAAAATTCGTGTAAGAACTTTGGGGATCTTCAGAACTGAACTAAGACTTGAATCGGTTCATCAAGAGCCGCTACACTCAGAATCAAACATATCTGGGATATGAAGAAAAAGAACTCAGTGGTCCAAAGTCATCTGTTCAAATTACAGTTTGCAATTCATTTTGAAATCAAGGTTACAGAATCTGCAGGACGAGAGGAGAGACAAAGAATCCATGTTGTTGGAAGCATCTCCTACTAATTTGTGCAGAATACTGCCGACATTCAAAATATTCCTAAAATACGACGTAAAAAAACATGATTTAGAGAATCTGATGAAATGTTAGCAAAAACCATTACATTTTGGAAATGTTGAATTTATCATTCGGCCGATACGACACCAACTGCATCGTTTTGAAACACGAGCTCCCGGCTTGCGTTCGAGGCGTCGCTCGCAGACACTCTGGCAGCTCGATTGGCCGCCACAGCCAAGTCAGTAAGCCTCCCAGCAGCTCACAGATAAGCCTGCGTTTATTGCAAGGACGATTATTGCTAAGGAAGGCAGAGAAATAACTAAACATCTGACACTTGGAGCTGGAGTCGGCGTAAGGGAGCAGATGGAGGAAGGCAGTCGCTGTCTGCCAATCTAGCAGGCCTTAAAATAGCACTTTAACCAAACAATAAGAAGAAAATGAGGCTGAGTTCAGCTGCTTTTCTTTTGTATCGCCACTGTAACTAAGCAGTGCATCTTTTTGCAGTTCTATATCTAAAGATTGACTGCAAACATTACCTCAGTACCACCTTGTGATGCGACTAGCACCTTTACTCTTATAGCGGATGGGGGTCGCGGAGCGGCCGATCTCAGCCCGCCTCTGATTGGCTATTTGCCGAGCAGTGATGTAATCCCCCTGGGAGAGCACTTCTGATCGATGAGGGTTTACGTTTGAAGATAACTCCTGATGCTGTGTGTGGGAGCCGACATGTGCTTGTGTGGGTTGATGTTTCAGCTGATAGCAGTGGATGCTGCTGCTGCTGTTTGGGCCAATCATGTCGTGATACCACCCAGAGCTGATCGCTATTGGTGAGATTAGAGACTCTGGAAATGAGCAGAACCGTAATAAGTTGCTGCTTGCATCAATTAATGCGTTTTATGGTCCCTAGCACTTCTAATACCAATTTTCACTGAACAGCTGGATTCATGAAACTCTAACCACACGGACTTCATTTACAAATGGCGAGAATTAGTTTCACCTTATGTGTAAAATGGACACGTTATCATTTAATTTCAGAATCTATAACTACATTTTGATGTTCAGAAAGCTTTTGATTTTATTCCCCATACTGAAAAATTAAACTATATTTATTCAAATGTTGTAATTTACATAGAACACTAATTCCTTCTAATGTAAATTTATGTTTTACCACTTATTCAACACCAGGGATTTTGTTCCCTTCCCACTAAAGTAGAGATCACACAGAAATGTCGCTTGAAGCAACCGCAACTTTCAATCATCCCCGTAAATTTATTCAGGCTCGTCGCCGTCGTGTCTTTGGCTGGACGTGACGAGATGATGGATTATTTTGCCATGAGTTCTAGAGAAAGTCCTGCCCGTCACTGTAATTACCCTCATGCACTGTCTGCCTCTGATGACGGATAATAGAGCCGGCAGAGCACAGAGATGATCTTTAGTGGTCCGTCTTCCTTAATGATTGTTGTCGGAGTGTCTTCCTGCACATCTCTTTTGGGAGTCAACAAATGTCTCTTCTATCTAATGCACTTGTAAAACGAGATTAAAAGTGTCTCCCAGACGTCAAATCTTCATTTCTTGAATGTCATAGTGGTCAAAGAGACGTTTTAATTGTGTATAAAACCAGTTCATAGAAGAATTTTTCCTTTCTAATTATTGTTCTGTTAATCTTGGAAGAAAGATCTGAATGCCTTGTGAGGATATTTCATCCAGGAGGAGTAAAACGCAATATCTTGATTGATAATAATATTCCTCACCCAATAGTTTACTAAATTATCTTTGCATCTATCAAAAAGACACAGATATAAACTGCTAAGCCGTATAAATCCAGATCTTGTGCATCTCCACAGGGTTGACACTTGCACCTCATGTCTTGTTGACTGTTGTTCCTGGAAGAGAGTTTCCGTTTTAATGCCGACAAAGCGGAGAGGCTGCTAGTCTTTTCAGATTCAGCGGAGAGTTTTCAGCTTTCAGATCTTCTCTGATCTCGGCTCTGTTCACCAGACGTTTTCCACGAAGCGGCTCGGTGCGTAGCGGCCGCCGCTGAGCAGGGCGACTTTTGTTATTGGTCTGACAGAAGCAGGTGACGCCTCTCCGAGCCGGCGCTCGGATTGACGCGACGCCGATCCCCTCGGCGTCGAGAGTTCTTGTTTGTGTCCATTTGTCTCTTTGTTTGCTTTTTAACTCGGCGCTGTCGGCGTTTCTGCCTTAATCATTTCTCAAGCAGCTTTTTTTCCTCTTTGACTCGTTCGGCCCTCCTTGTTCTCACTGTATGCTTTATGACTCCCCCCTTGTTTGTATGCTTGGTTGACTTGTATTGGTGTAATTAAAAGCAGCGGGCCATTGTGTGGGAGTATATGCATGTCTAATTCCCTGTTGTGAGAAGGTACCGGAGTAGAGAGTTTAATTAAGCTCTTTTCATGCGTCTTATCGGGAGTGTGGCTCTTTATGTAACAAGAATCTTGGGTGTTTTGGTCCATCTGGTTGTAAAACGGACGGCTGATGTAGCTGTGTGGTCTGCTCCTTTGAGAGGACTCCTAACTTGTTCTCTGGCCTCTTTCTGCTCCAGGGTCCTTCCTCACACTCGGCCTTGACAAACACACACACACACACACGCACACGCGCATACATGCACGCTCTCTAACTGACGAGACAATCGGTCACAGTGTCGCTTTCCAAGAGGTAGCAGGTGTGAAAAGGCTTGTCGTGATTGCAGGCACACACTCTTACCCAGAAGCCCAGAATAATTCACACCATCATCTTGCAACAACAACGAAAAAAACAAAAGCACAATCTTGACACACATTTTTGTAACTGTGACGGATTTTACCAATAGAGGAGGTAAAGGGACATTGTATTCACCAGCTTCTGTTGTGCAATTCTTTTTATCTTTATGTGAAAAAGTAAATCATTTTTCCATTTGATTGTGCACTACATTGTACACATAAAATTCATGATGTGTTTGTAGCGTCATAAAATGTTGAACCCCCCTAAGATATACTTTTCGCCAATACTCTGGTGCAGGATTCCCACAAAGGTTTGGTTTTCCAGGCTGGTGTAGCGCAAACAGGTTCATATAGAGTTTGTCTACGACGCATACACATTTCCAGGTGGTGTGTACCAAGATGCAGTGTTGTTTAAGATGACTGGTCTCCCCTGTCATCTCTGTTGACAGACTTTGGATGTCAGAGTTCCCTGCGACGGGGGAGCAAGAGAAAACCATAATACTGCCTTATCTTGGCTTCTTATACTTTTTCTCACATTCATTCTGTTTTTTTTTTTCCCCCCTCAAAACCTTTTCTTCCCGTTTTCCTCCAAAGGTATCTCACCATTTCACACCTTCATTTCATCTTTTTTTCTCTGTCATTTCCGTTGTTTATCGACTTTTGCGACCTTCCTGCTTTTCCCTGCTGCACCTTAGAGACTTCTTGGATTTTTCGGCTGTCGGTGCCTTGAGGTTTCTTTTGTGATTCTGTTTTTAACACGGACTACGGTACAGGTCCGAGTCTCTTTATGTGCTCTCCGCCTGAGCCGCCGTCATTAACCGTGTCCTTATGAGACCTCTGCGGCGGCCATTGAAGCATTACAGCCCATCGCTCTAAGGAGGACTCAAAGAAACGTGTGGTTGCAGGGAAATGAGATGAAATAAACGAGTGAAGGTTGTTCTGACCTTCCCTCGAGAGAAAGCTGATGGATGAAGAACCTGTCAGAACGTAGGAAAGGGTTGCGTAGCAGCAGAAAGGGAAAGGAAACGCAGTTGCTTTAATGTGTACTGCCAAGGCTAATCCATCTTGCAAGCTGAAGGAAACAACCTTTTTTCAAAGCAGGTTGTTCTTTTGTAACCCTGTTTGTTTTTCTGAGATTGTATTTGTGACTGGTTCAACACAGAGTAGCAGTCACATGATTTAGTCCAGAATTTGAATAGAAAAGTATAAGAAATGACTCCACTGGCCTCCCGGTATATCCAACAATTTTCAGTGAAAAACCTATAGATGAAATTGTTTTCTAAGATAATGAAATTAGCAGATAATTCATGGGTTATTGATGGACTCACTCAAAGTTGACATGTCCTTCTTTCCCTTTGGGATCGGTTTGTGGATCTTAACTTTGACAAATGTGTTCACATTAAGACTGGTGGGCTGAATACCAAACCCAGCTGAACAGGCTGCAGGTCGTCTGACTAAATTGGTTCTGTAGTTTCAAACCAGCAGCACCACCACAGAGCCACCGCCGGCTTCCTGTTACTACAAATACAGCTCCTGCTCTCCAGGCCTCTACAACAAACAAGCTACAGTAAAGAGCCTAAAAATATAACACCTTGTCAACAATCTATATATATAATCAGGCATGACTTTTTATTAATAGCTTCAAACCTTTGATTGGAAGTCATCTCACTTTCTCGCCTTCTCGTTGTGTTATTCTTAGGCTATAGCGACAGCTTATTGTTGAGGTTCATTTTCTCTCTGTCACACTGGAGTACAGTGAGTCTTTGGAGTTGTTTAGGAGCCAAAAT